GAACCACCAAAATCGCCACTAGAATATGGCACACACAACGCGCAACTGAGGATGAGAACGAAGATGAGGACGAGGAAGACAAGGACGAGGAAGACGAGAACGAGGAAGTGTAGCGTACAGGGCGTGAAACGAGGGGGCGTACTACAACATAACAACTTTTCTTTTGTCATAACCAGAAGCCTAGCTGCTTCCAACAACCCAAGAACTGTAATGACCATAACCCCCTTCTCAAACATGTATTTATTACAGCTTTACTCATCTGTTGGAGGGAAACCCCCAGCCGTGCTACTATAGTCTCAGACTCACACAGCACGTTAAAAGGAATAATAATAATAATAATAATAACATTCCTAGGCTATAAGTGTATTTATTTTAGCCTCTAATTATACGTACTAGATAAAGGGGGTAGGATAAGGTGCTATAGTAATACGAGCACTTAGATCAGTCTAATAAATTAAAACAACCTAGGAGTACAGGTCGGTTTGATTAAATTAGTCCGAAATACGCTTGTAAAACTTAAAATCTAATACGTATATTAGACGCCTAATACGTAGATCAGACGTCTGATACGCGTATACCTCGTATACGCTGGCTCAATAGATCATGGGTACTAGCTAGTGAATAAGAACCCCTCTTGAGCGAGGCTATTACAAGTTAGATACTTCGTAGGAATAAACATTTGAAGAAGCTTTAAGCGAGATAAGCTAGGAATCACAATCAGTTCGCAAAACAAAGAAAAAAGAGTGAACCCCTCTTATCACTTCAACTCCAAACTCCCTCTACAGTATAATAACAAACTTTATCTTCCACAGCCTTCTTCCTCGCTTATCTTCTATAAACATGACCTAGTGAATCAATAACCAACTACTATTAAAAACCAACTAATCATCTCAACAATACTGTACCACATACAGCCAAGAAGCAAAATCTTCAAACCTTTAAGTGTGCAATCATCCCTTCTCTTCCTGCTCCCCATAGATGCGATCCTCTCATGTGTCTAAAGAGAAGTAGAAAATTCAGGAGGTGGACTTTCGCTTCTGGGTGGGTAGAGATTTACGGGGTAAGGAAGATGGATTGGAAAGGTGTGAGAGAAGGCGAGTGAGGTGTTATATGGATGGGGATGGGGTGGGATAGGCTTTGTTTGCTGTGTATGAGTATTTCCAGGGAGTATCTGGGTGGAATTCTTGGTGGGGGAGCTTGGTTGTACTAAGGAGGGCTTGACTTGTTACCTGTACGTGGTGCCCTCTACGAACCCTTACTTAGGGCTAGCCGCAGGGTTAGCCCTAGCTAGAGGGCCAAGATTGAGTCCCGACTACGAAAACACCCCCCTGCGTAGTGAATTTTTCGCCCTTACCGCGCATTCGATAAAGCGACTTGAGACTCGACTTTTTTCGATACCTTTAAGTTGGCAGAATAACAGGGGTAAGGAGGATTAGGGGGGTTATCTTAGGCTTCCTGGTTATTACGACTACGGTTTTTATTTATACTTAGCTAGTATAGGAATGTATATCCTTATAGTTATGGGATATAACTTTTTACGATTATCGAAACTAATATATCCGTCTTCTCTTCGAAATATCTATTACTTTATGTAAGGGTGCGATAGCGACAAGGTTAACTGTATGCGTAAGAACTAAATTGTCTACAAAGAGTGGAAGTGATCGTAAGATCTGAGGCTATTTACAGTTCCAAGGGCACGGGCCACATCGCTTCCTCCACGTCTGTACCCTCACACTTTAAGTATAGATAGAAAACAACTATTAAGCTTTCTTAAAAAGGAATAAAAGATATACTATAAGACCTAATAACCTAGAATAGAACGATATTACTACTCTCTTACCTATACTTAAATAAAGGATAATAGTAGTATAATATTAGAAGTAATAAATTAGCGTTCCTATATATTTTACTTACCTAGGCTTATAGTAGAACGTTATAAATAACTTAGATACTAAGGTAAATAGAAGGGAAGGATAGATTTAAGGGTCTAGAGAGAAATAGGCGAGTTATAAAGAAGAAACTATAATATATAGTATTATAGCTTATATAAAAAGATAGGATAGTATACCCTTTCCCTTACCCTAGGGCTAGGGGATTAGCCCTAAGCTATCTAAAACATCTTGTATAAAAGCGGCGATAATATAGGTTTAATTACTATGCGATACTCCTAGAAGGCGAAACTAATACTCGAGTACTAGTGTTATTAGCCCGGCGAACGCTCCTCCTATATATAAAATATTAAAAAAACAAATACTTAGCACCTTAGTTGTACTAAGGTATTTAGGGTGAGTATTAATAACTTTAAATCATAGTACTACTCGTTTTTTAACGTTCGATTTGACCGGCCCACTTGCGAGGTGTCTAAGGTTGGTATTGCTCTGTTAAGAGCAATGAACCATGATATAGTCCCATGTAAGCGCACACAACTCGCACAACTAAGCTGAAAGATTTCAAAGCGTAACAGCAATGCTTTTATTACTACTTCGTGCCATTCACACCATCATAAAGCCCCCTATAGAGTAAATTGTAGGCAACGCAAGGTAACCGCCCTCTACGCAACCATCTTATGAGAACTCCTCCACGTCTCAATCTCCCCCTCCCCAATCTCCCTCAACTTATTAACATCCGCCACATTCCCCGTAACCATTCCCTTACCAACCTCCACCATCCTCGAGACCGCCGTTCCCTTCGCCAACGCATAGGTAATGCTCCGAACCGTCACCTCAATGATGCCAATTCGTGGGTCTTCAGGTCCGCCGGTGTGCACGCCATCACCAAGATCGCCAACCCATGCTTTCAGCGCGGAGGAGTAGTGCTTCTTGACGAACTCCGTATCGGTGATGACCTTGGAGACACCAGAGAGAGATGCCCATTCTCCCGAGGAATTGAGGAAGGAGATGTTGATCTGGGGGTTGGTCTCGATTTCGGCGGCTTTGTGAGATTCGGCGTTGGTGTGGAAGAGGAGTTTGAGGGATTCGCGGTCCTGGGTTGGTTTAGCTGGTTGTTATTTTGAAATGTATGAGAATGTCGGGAATGGGAGAAGGGGAAGGGAGAAGAAATGTACCGTCTCGGCCAATGCCATGCATCTAGAAACCAACTTTCCTGACTCTGCATCTCGCGTCGTCATCATTCCGAATTTGGATTTCTCGATGAAGGTGCAAAGATCTTCGATCTTCTCCTTGATACCTGGCTCCTGGTCGAGGTTCTTGGACTTGTAGGGGTCGAGGGGTTTGCCATTGTCTGCGGTGGACGACATTTTCAATGAGGTTGTTTGGTTTAGTTGGATGGGTTTTGATTTGGTATTTCTGGTTGAAATTCTAAGAAGTGGTATTGTTGTTAGTGGACGGCTGAATATCTGGGTGCGTGTGCAACGAAGTGTTGCAGTGAAGGGCGAGCGAAGTTTATTTTGCATGATAGATGAATAGCTTGTTGTGAATCCAGTTCGTGATGCAGGGTATAAAGTAAGGACTTACTTGATTCAAATGTTGTTGTATTCAACTGGGTTGGTTTGAAGAGAGCTGGTGGTGGAAATCAACAAGTCATCCATATATGAGAGCTTGGCGGGTCAATTAGTATGACGTATGGATACAGCTATGATGTATTGTGTAATACCTGAGCACTTCTAGAACCAAATTTGTGTAACAATCGCAAGAACTTTACTCCGGTACCTGAAAGTAGAGCGAGGATTTTCAGGGCGGGGGATCAAGTCATTCAAACAAGTAGATATTCATGTGTCAGTAGATGAGTTTCATACCTACCTAGACAGGCGAGAGTTATTTACAACCGAATTCCTGTAGGAGATGCTCAAATGAAAACAAGCTTCCAAACTCTCACGGTTTTTTTCCAAATCCGCATTTCTTCCATCTGGAGGGCAACTGTTCTATTTACAGTATGATTTGAGACTCACGAAAATAAGTTAAGGTTGCTCCCATATACCAAAAGTGACATTGCCAAGGTCCTCGCCACCCAACATCTCAGCTGACATTCACGTAAACAAATTGATAAATGGCGGCTTAAAACAATGGAAATATTCCTCACGTCAGAATTTCCCCTCCAGCATTTCCATGGCAGTAATTCAAGGATGTGCTCAGGCGCCAGCTCGGTCAATCAATCACCTGATTCACAAAAATGAAGGTGACGGGAGGTCACGCGAGTAGCCAAGACCATCCACCCCGCGCGCCTTGTCTGGAGTACAGAGCATACAAATAGGTAACAATCGTTCCTCCCATCCCAAACCTCTACAAAAAAGCACCTCATTGACCCAATCAAAAATCTTACACCATCACAACTGCAAAACTCACAAGTTAATCAATCACCCACTACAAACATGTCCACCACAGCATCCTCCCAAGCCCCCACGGCACCCCCCGCTCGCGCAACCACCGAGCCAACACCCACCAAGACGACCCCCGACTACGATCAGGGATTCAAGGCGGGCGTCAAGTCGCAAGAGGCCCGGATGCAGGCGCAGAAGGAGCGGTTCCGCGAGAAGATTGAGGAGCTGAAGAGGGAGGTTAAGAATTTGAGGGGAAGGGTGGAATCCATGGATGGGAGGGGTTCGGCGGTTGGGACCCCGACGGTGGAGCGCCCGCAGCCGAGGATGGGTGTCGTGAGGAGGGAGAGTATTGCCGAACATGAGTTGAGGATTAAGAATGTGGAGAGAAGTTTTGGGATTTGAATGGGGAGAGGAGTGTGGTGGTACTCGAATTTGGGTGTGGTATGGCTGTGTGGTTGACTGGACGTTTTCTTGATGCTGGAAATTGGGATTAGAACCTCCTCCACCGGGCTTGATGAGGTCGCTGACGACACGTGATGAAAGAAGTGCCACCTGCAGGCCCGTGGGCACGATTTTCTTGGGCGGGGACGGGTGTTTTCTATGGTTGTTATACATTATTGGGGTTTCTGAATGGGCGAAAATGGGTTATGGATGTGGGCGTTATCTAGAATTGTTGATTGTTTTTCTTGTTCTTTTCCTTGCGAGTTGTTGGTTTTTTGCTAGTCGTGGGTACCCAGTGTCTCATTATACCATTTCTAGATTCCGATTCTTTCTACAGGCATGGATGGAATTCAAATTAAGTTAATGGCAGTTCAATGGCAGTTGGGAGGCTCAAACCCCGTTATGTGGTTTGCGATAGATGTAGGATTATAGAAATGTTAGAGATCAGAGCTAAAATCGGATGTATGATGTTTCCACTAGTGAAGTGACACTCGTCTATCCGAACAGCAATTTCAGTCAATATGATCGGTAGGTGAAATCCTTGATCGTGCATTTTAAAGTATTGGCTCTCCCAGAAAGTATTTGCCAATGTTGAAATAGTTCTTGAAATGGTGATAGTAAATCTACTAATCCTTGGATGAAAGCTCTCAATCTGTTACCTAACAATTTTTCAAGTTCCTATATCTGAAATTTCCTAGGATAATAGTCTTGGACTCTTGGAAAACTATTCTTGGGATATAAAATTATTGAGGAGATGGTGTCTATTGAATGAACATAAGACAGGTTCAATAACTCAGTTCAGTAAATTAAGTGTACTTGTATGTCCATTTAAACATATACCGACTCTCGTTCATTTTTCATATGATCATCATGATGTGTCGCAACGTTTGTTTCATTCAATAACTTCTCGGCAGTCCGAGAACTTTCTCTGCTACATAATTCATAATCATTTCTCGAGAAACAGGAGCAATCCGAGGAACAAAACACTCTCTCAGATACCTTTCCACGTGATACTCTTGAGCGTAACCCATTCCCCCCAAAGTCAGTACGCTCCTCTGACAAGCTGTGAAAGCCGCCTCCGCCGCTAGGTATTTTGCACTATTGCAGGCAATACCAACAGCTGTCGAAGTAATACTTCTGTCTTCTGTAGATTGGTCGTATAACCTTGCTGCATGGTAGGTCGAAAGCTTGGCGGCTTCTAGGTGCATGAAAGTTTCTGCGAGAGGATGTTGAATTCCTTGATTCATACCAATCGTACGTCCAAACACGATTCTGTCTTTTGCATAGCTCGAGGCTCTATGTAAGGCGGCATACCCAAGGCCAAGTGCCTCACCAGCAAGGAGACATCTCTCAGCGTTCATCCCGTGAAGAACAATCTTGAATCCTTGGCCTTGTTCTCCTGTCAAGGAATCCTTGGGAACGATGTAGTTGTCAAAAAATACCTCATTTGCATCAATTGCTCTCCCACCCATCTTCTTTATCCGTTTCAACTCGAGACCTGGTTGCTCTTGGTCAAAATCTATGAAGAACAACGAAAGGCCTTCCGAGGGTTCCTTGACGTCTTCCAAAGGCGTCGTCCTTGCGAGAAGTATCATCTTCGTTGCCACCTGTGCAGAAGAGATCCATATTTTTGCCCGGATATTCGGTAATTGTCGCCGTCACGAACTGCTTGGGTTTTGAGTTTCAAGGTCTCGAGTCCAGTATTTGGTTCGGTGACTCCAAAACAAACACGCCATGAACCATCGATTATCCTACCAAGCATTCTCTTTCGCTGCTCGGGAGTAGCAAACTTTGCGACTGGTTGAGTAGCATAGACGTCTGATAAGATTTAGCATGATTGCTGCAAGGAAAAGAAGGATGACGAACTGGCGTGAATCAACTGCGCTCCAGCAATTCCGGCACCGCTCCCAAGTAACGATTAAATTGCATTTCTAGATTCGGATCAGAAGACTTGCTCAGATATTGTATGTAGCATCATAGTCGCTTCTGAGATGCCCAGTCCCGGACCCACCCAGGTCCTCAGGCAGAGCAATGCCAATCCAGCCATCCTTGGCCAGGGCTGCATGTAACTCGTGAGGATACTCTCCAGACTCGTCGCGTTGCGCCCAGTACTCCTAGTGCCTTCTTAGAAGAGGGATAACGTTCTCGCCTAGTGATTATTCTTGCAAAACACCTCTGGAAAATAGGCCAGCTAAACTCACATCGGAGAAATTCATGCATATCTTTCCGATGGCTTCTCGAACTTGTAATTGTGTGTCAGAGAAGCCACTTGTTTCCATCAATGTATTTGCGCGTAATGAAGATGTTGTTGAAAAGTACCTATATCTCGGCCTAGCAATACGATGACCTGTGAAGACAGGTTTAGCTAGACGAAGTCTTGTTGACATGGTGAACCGCATATTTTCTTTTGTGCAGGACTCGTTTGGAGACGGAATCACTAATTGAAGATTGAACGGCTCAGGATTGAGGTAAAATCAAGGCTACGCAATGTGCAAACTTTACTTGAATATACCTACCTAGGCACGGAGTGTAGTTGTTTACAACCATTTCTGTTGCTGAGGGGTCATTATTCAATGCTACGCTACCAGTTGCTGCGTTTAAAGCGGCCCGACCATCCCCCTGCTATTTATGGTGCTGCTCTAGACGCGGTGGTCGAGGCGCGATATGGCTGGTCAATCAGGCAATCAAGACCCACTAACCAGGGAAGGAACACGCTAATAATGCAACTCCCGAGCACCACCACCAGAGACTTGAGCTTCCCACTTTCAACCAAAACAACATCGTCACAATTGCAACAACCCTACGACATCCACCCTTCGCGTGCTTTTGCCCTACCCTTTCGACTCGGTATCTTTGCGCAATGCATATCTGATCGCCTTCTCAAAACAAAAACCACAACCCCCCCCCTACGACCTCCCCGACGCGCTTTGTTTTGATTCAAAAATCATGGCGCCCACACGAGCGAAAGTGACTTCGCGCACGCAGGTTGGAGCACCTTCATGGATCGCAGAAGAGCGTGCCTCTGCGGCAGAGATTGTCCAAGCAGAGGCGGAAGAGTTTACCTTCTCGGCGCGTAATGAGGTCGAGTGGTTGAACGAGCACATGGGGGATATTTTCAGCGAAAATCATGTGTAGGTAAACAAAGTATGAGGATGGGCCCGACTAACGCGTGATGAATAGAAACGTTGCAGAAATCTTCAAAACTCCAGGTAAACTGAGAGGAAAAACACCACGAACAATCAGAAAGAATAACCCCCTTGAGACGCGTGCTGTAAGTCGCATCAACCATTCCCATGATCGCAACTAATATCAAACAGCCATTATCGGATGTATTCTCAGCGACTCCTAATGGAAAATCAAGCCCCTTTAAACAATCCCATTTCGAACGACCTGTTGCGACATTCCAAGTGGCCGAAGATGCACGAAGTCAATCCCCCGAGCCTGTTGCTCAAGAAGAGCATACCTCACCACATTTACCTTCCGCAAGCAAAAGCCCCTTGCAACAACGAAAGCCCGCTTATAACCCGTTCGACTCGGGATATTTTGGAAGTCAGACCGTTCACGCGACGCAGAACCATGATTTCTCGGACACACAAACACTGCAGATTAGTACCCCAGCGAAGGCGCGGACACCTGCGAAGATTTTGGTTGAGCAAATGAACCGCGAATCGACTGGCTCTTTTGAGTCGGCAAAGGAGGAATTAACACAGCATATAAGTAATGGCGACGAGATGGAATTAGCCAACGAGAACGTAGAGCCGACCAGAGAAACAGAGCCAGTCAGCTATCCAATTCTTACTTCGCCTCTGGAAACAAGAACTCAACACATGTCATCACCGCAAAAGCGTTCACCGCAGAGATCGCCACAACAGTCGCCCCATCGCTCACCAGTGCGCTCGCCGTACCGTTCACCCGAACGACCAGTATCTGTCTTGCAATCATCACCACCAAAAATTGCGCCGCCATCAATGGAGGTGGTTGAGGATGAGCCAATGGAAGACGTACATTCACCTTCACTCGCATCAAGTCCGCTTAGACCTGTTGTCGTTCGGAAAAGTAGCTTAAATTTTGCCTCGCTACCCGCACGGGAGCCATTGACCACCAAGAAAAGCCTCGGAACACGTACTTCAAGAACTAGTCATTTGGATCAGTCCAGAACAAGTTACTATAGACGTGCCACTGGCGGGAAAAGCTTAGGCAATGTTAGACAAGAGCATCAGAACAAGGACGATGATAGTATGGAGATAGACATGGATGAGAATGATGAGACGATGAGTGGGACTGACTCAAAGATGGCTCGTCTCCATAATAAAACTTCTACGCAACGCCTGCAAGACCAAATTAGTATGCTTGGGCAATCCCAAGCCCACCCTCGACCAGCATCCAAATCCATCGCAGGCAATGGACTTGCTACCTCCCAAGTCAATCAAAAAACCCAGCCTCCAGTGGCACAAACCAGTGGAAACAAGGCAAAGTCACCCGAACGCTCTCCCGATCGTAAAGCACGCCCACCCCCTGGCGCATTCCCAGATGATGAAGAAGATAGTTGGATTGGCCCACCCACCGCAGCACGAGATGGTTCTGTGTTTAGCCCAAGACCGCTGACTAAAAGCCATACTGCCGATGTCATGGAAGATATTCATGGCAAGGACAGCATTGGCGGACCCCAGTTCAGCATTCCTAAGCGAGGTGAGGAACAACGTTTACATTCACCTGTTCGTGAAGCTCCCGTGCTGGAAAGAAAAACGAGCGCTTTTGGGCATTTTAAATCGGTATCAACCTCTGTCCTTCGGTCACCAAGAAAGGCTGGCAACTCCCCAGGCACAAAAAGTACGATATCTGTGTCGAATCCAAATCCGTCTATCTCTAGCACCGATGAAGAAACGACGCCTCCAAAGTCGCCCTTCAGAAACAATCGTGGTAGTCCACTAAAAGCCGCAAAGGATAAATTCTCCTCAATTCTGAAAACTTCCCGAGGCCTGTTTGCTAGTAGTGCAGCAGTTAGTGCCGATGCAAAGAATGTATATTCTCCCTCATCAAGTCATTTCGGTTATCACCAAAACCAATCTGCAGATGACGTATTTCCAAGGTCTCAGGATAAAGCACCACTGTACCCGATACTCGACAACGAATCAAGCGCTGATTCTAACTCTGACAAAGCTCCTTCGAGTTCGCCCAAGGCAAACCCTCGAAGAACTCGAGCTTCTACAGAACGAGAAGAGAGAAAGAAGGAAGGGGAAGCCAGGGAGATCCGCGATGCCAAAGAGGCACAGAAGATGTCGGATCAATTGGAGAAGGCCCGCATGAAGGTTAAGGAAGAAGCTCGAGCTTTCCATGTTGAGCATGAACGAGCAAATACAATGCAAAAAGAGGTCGACGCTCGGAAGGAGTACGAAAAACAGGCGAAATCAAGCCAGACTGAGATACCAAGAGCGACTCGAACCAGCCCTAGAAAAACCAAGGCCCAGTTAGAGGCTGAAGGTAGAGCGGCGGCAGCAAGCAGCGTAGACCTCACCAGACGTGATGTCGATATGGATGCATCTGCAATGCCACCGCCTTCAATCCCTCGCCCCAAATCCCAGATTGGCAGACCAGGACCAAAGCGGCCGTTGCGACCAGCCAAGGAACCACTTGGGAAGGCCAAGCCACCAACAGTTATCCGAGTCGATACTGGTTCTCAACGAGGTCACCAACATCATCCGTCCAACTCAACATTGGCAGCCACTTTGCAAGAATCTCTTTCGCAACCTGCTGGTGGAGCCCCTGGGCTGAAGAAAAAGGCCAGTTCAAGTTCAATCCAAAGCAAAGCATCTACATCAAGCTTCAAGGCTACCGCAAATAAAGCTTTGGAGGCTGCGGCCAGGAAGAAAGAGCAGGTTCGTTTTAATTCATCTCTTACTAACTACTCGCAGCTAACGACTCAGGATGAACTTGCTACTCAGAAGAAACGAGAGGCTAAAATGGAGATTGAGAGACAGCGCGCTTTGAATAAGGAAGAAGAACGCCGAAAAGAAGAAGCCCAGCGCCGAGCGGAAGCAGAGCGACAACGTGAGATTCGAAACGAGAGGGAGCGGGCAGCCAGCGCTGCGGATGCTAAAAAGTCTGCATCACGACAGGCTGCGGAGAAGAGAAGACAGGAGCTGGAGAAAGCAAAACAGACTAGAGCTCCGCCACCCGCCGTCCGTAACCAGGATAAGGCACTTCCTCCTGTTCCTCGGGAAGAGGTCGGACGGACCCCCAATCCAGCTTCTCAAAACGTCAGCAAGTTTCCTCCAAAGAGACCTCTTCAGCAAGACGAGGAGCATTCTCGCCCAGCTCTTCAACGAAGCGGGCCGTCATACAATAATGAGCAACAGTCCAAGCGCCGCAAGACGGACGAATATGACGACGATGATTTAACTGAACACCAGCCAAGGATGACTGCACCTCCTATCCGACAATCCAGCAGTCGAGCAAAGGTAAAACCCCTCGTTTTACAAATTCACAGCTATCATACTAACCTCTAACAGGATATGCAGCCTAAATCACTATTCCCAAGTGGATATGCCAACGTGCCCCCAAGCTCAAACAATCTTTCACGGTCAACAATGATGTCTCAACATAATGTTAACCAGTCAAAACCTGGGCACCCGATGGACATGGCACAAATGTCGAAAGGACCTATCCCATTCGCTTCCAGCTCAACCCAGGCCAAATCGCAAGCCTACAAAACACCGATTCGCCCAGCTACTGCTAAGTCATCTGCCAAGTCGGTTGTGAAATCATCCCCACAATATCAAAATGGAGAGACCATTGATCTGCCCGAAATCAACACTGACTCTGAAGATGACGATGATGATGACGGAGACGACAAACCCGCCTTTAAGGGCGCTGCATGGATTGAGTCTCCGGCGCTTAGACAGCAATTGACTGAGCAAGAAAATAGAGATCCGACCGATATTTTTGGGCCTCCGGCACCCATAAATATGGAAGAGGTCTTCAACAAGAGTAAAGACAAGTTTCCCAAATTCCGGGATAGAACTTCGAGTGCCAACTGGGGCGGTATTGATCGTCTGACGGAAGACGAGATCCGCCGGGATCTTTTGGCGAGGCAGCAAATCCAACGAGCTGGTGGTTGGGATTTCAATTCTATGATATGATTCATTGTGTGTTTATTGTTCAGATTGGACGGGGGACTTTTTTTGTTTTATAGCATCCTTTGGTTGATTATTTTTCACACATGCGGTGTAGGGTGCTTGTGGAGTTACTATTTGTGGGGGATGGCTTTGAACTCACGGCTTTGGAGGGAATAATGATTACGAAAACTATTGTTCCCTAATCTTGGTTCGATTCATCCTTTTTTGACTTCTAGAGTACTATCATTTCAATAAATAGCATTTTTTGATTTTCTCTCTTCGTTAATGTGAATTGTGTCAGACGAAAATTATGAGGTTTTGGTGGTGTGATTGACCAACGGTTGTTGAGGCTCATAATATGTCCATAACATACTCGGCTTGTAGATCAAGAATATGGGTACTGTAAGGTAACGTTCCTTTTGCGAATTTCGATCTAGTGGAAGAAGCACCAGTAGCTAACTAAAGACCTATGAACTTATAGCTCACGACTATTGTAGGGCACTTAGTTCAACAAGCGTATTATTCACTTCCACTGTCCCAAGTGAAGCGAGAAACAACCTCGGTATGGGTCTTGTGTTGTGCGACTAGACGGGAGAGGTTGTAGGTGTGGTGTCGAAAGGTGATCTGGGTATTCTGGGCAAGGAATGGAAGGGGGTGAGGGAAAGAGAGGAAGAAATGAGATGGTTCGTTGTAAGCTAGTATTCTTACTGGTGATATATAAGATGGTCTTTGAGAGGTGTCTGGAGTTAGTTTAGGGAAGAGAATTTGGGTTTTTGATTCGCTCTTTCCCCATCTCATTTCCATTTCCATTTTTATCCTCATTCTTATGAAATCTTATCCATATCCACGTCTTTGGTCTTCCTCTACGTCGTCTAAGCTTGGAGGTGCAAAAGGGGTAAGACTTACCCGACCTCTCGGATATGTTTAAGAAGTCTTCCACTCGAGCTGTGCTACGGATATATTCACCGCCTCTTCTAAGCTGGGAACTACAACCTCGCACCAGTTCATACTACAAAGTCTATGGTAAGTGTGAGGTTTCAAGATACCTCTTGTGATAATGCAGGTACATTTCCTCTTTCGTCGCGAGAGTATAAGGCGAAATGATACGGAAGATGACTCTTCTAAGTGGTGGAGCTTTGAAATGATTGGTGCTAGCTCAAGGAGACTGATCTAGCTTACTTTCGCCAGTCTTGCAGAATCCTAGCTGCCTGTCCTAGTTAATCCGGAATTAAGCATCGACTCTTTGAATTTAGGGAAGGCATCGCCCCGTGGGTGCAGCACCAATGATAAAAGTCTCTCCTTCCTCATTACATTTCTCGCCTGGTATCCGATCCGTTCCTACCCCTCGCTTAACTTCACCCACCTTCACACCACCAGCACCCAAACTCCTCAAAGTAAAAAACCCACAAAAACAAATCCAGAACGTATAAAACCATACAAAAAAACAGCAAAAAGTCCGCACCACCCACTCTGTTACAAGTGGTGGCGGGCAGGACCAGCTAGCCACATTGTTCCTGCGGCTAACACTCAGGAACAATTACTCTAGACTAATGTTTTGCTTTGCAAGGGAGGCCACGTTAACCAACGCGCCATTTGGTGGTGCGCTGCGGTATTTGCTCAACTTTGCTCAACTTTGCATGCTAGGAAAATGCTTACTTGTGGTGTTATTGTGTGGAGGGGATTGGGTGAATGGGCTATCTATGGAGGTAAGTGGTCATGTGACCAGCTGCTATCATCCCAGCCCTGGAGGTGGAGCTCCCTAGCTCTATGTGCTAGGTCCACTTCAGGGCTCTACCAATATCGCACTTGATCTAACACATATGTTTTGATCTAATATTACTAATATAATTTTACTGCGTTATGTACTGGACTTGCGGATTGAGCGTGAGGCGACAGAAGGGAAAGTACAAACTTGTCCATACGAGTACTCAAGTAATAAACGTCAACTCTCCAATAGTCTTTTCCTTCTCTACCTATGTACACTTTTTCATCGTCGAAATCGGATCTCGAGGAGAGACTAAATAGTCACAACCTCATTACTAGAAGGGAACCGCACTCTTATTCGGTTCTGGAAAACTGATGAGAGAAAGATTCACTCATCGAATATTTACAAGACAAAAAGAGGTTCTTTGTAGGTACTTGTATATGAGATCCTGTTGAACTGATCTTGCAGGAAAGAACAAATTTGATATTCCTAACGCCTTCCAGGTTTCCTCACGCATCACCTATGTCGAATTCCATGACAGCGCATCGTGTATGAACCATAACTCTTCCGGATTTGACCCTGAAGCATTTTGTCCTAATGCTCAGTTAATTTGCAACTCGGTACCTTGAAGAAGCGATCTTTAGTCTCCTCCAACGCCTCCGACAAACCAGGATGGATTTCAACCAAATTGTACCAACGATATCCATGTCCGGTCCCTCTTCCCCAAGGTACAGATTTGTTGAGTATCCATTCATCTTCAAACACTATAAAGCCAGGTTCATGGTTCAAACAAAGGTAGTAAATCCTTCCACCATTTCTAATGTTATCGTATCTAGTCATAATACGAACAACTCTTGACGCCTGTTGGTAGGAGTCACATTGACGACATTTTGGGTATTGCGATTTCAATGGACAATAGCGTGAAGTTTCCGCGAAAGAATCACAGGATGGCGTCAGCTTCTCTGTTGACGATAGGGTTGCAGAGGGGCTCTGGGGTACCGTTAGGGTTTGAAGTTCTTCTTGATTTGGTGTCGTGAGCGATACCGAGTTTTGCATGACGCACTTATCGTAAATTTCCTCCAGAACATCTTCATCGGATTGTGTAATCGGAGCGTTTGGGTTCGCAGCCTCATCTGAAGTGCTATTAGCTTGCTTTCATATTGCTTAAGAGATTTTTAACCTTTGCTGTTTGACCAGTTAAGACCCGCGGTAGGCCCTTCCATTTTCCAACCGACTGAAGGCTCTAAGCGAGCCATCAGAGAATGGGTCGAAGCTTTAGGAGAATCCGCGTCAACACTGACGTTTTCACCTCTCCAGTACAAGGCAGTATTCTTGACGGAATCGTGGCAGATTGGACCCGAAAATTGAATTTGTGTGTAATGAGCGAAAGGCAAAAGCTGTGGAACTAAGCTGTATAAGTAGGGCCAAGTGCTCTTTGAATATAGGGTCTTCAAAGAGCTTAAACCGCTGTTTGTACTAGACATTTTTTGAAGACTAAGAAATACGGGAGTGAGCTTTGAAAGGCGGCACAGGGGGTGATTAGGTGGCCAGATATGAAAAGAGTCTATTCCCTTGGTACTTATGCTTATTAGCAGTTTGTTTTCATGCCCTGAAATAAGAAGAATGTTTCTGGGAGCTTGGTCTTTCGTGAGACAAGGGAATTCAAACAACAACATGAAGTCATGTGTGAAAATTGGAAACATTTGCTGCCAGGCACAATGCCACAACATCAACGAGCAAACTGAGACGCAAAGGCACAGCTCTGAAAAAATCATAGTCGTACAGTAAGAACTCACTATCTTCTAAGAGCGCTCTTGGTTGGACACACCAACTGCACACCTAGTGCACGTGATTCCTTTACAATGCCCCCCTTTACCCTCAGAGGTATGCTACAAGGCTACCTGTGCTTAGAGAATCTCCAATTCAGCCAGAGCATTCAGGATTCTACTCAGAACCTCGGCTACAAAACTGCTGATGATCTCGGAATGCCGGAAAACACTTCTAATCACCCCAGGAAGTTTAGGCACGTTTCTTATAACCCGAAATCGTCATCTATTGAGATATGTCCAAACTTCCAAGCTTTTGCGCCCCCTTGCCATACCGACCAATATTCCTTTCATAACACATTATCGTCACTTCCAATTTACCAAAACTGTTGTTCCTTCTTACAAGCCACATTGAGAGGCAGCCAATGTCCACCCAGTCAAGCGGTTGGCAATGTCCATGACATAGCATGGAGTAGCTCCCACTGGATCATTCATGTTGCCTTGGTTGACGGAACCTGAATTATACAACCTGGCAGCAATATAGAAAGCACGGGAGCCCCATCCACCAGTTGATACGGCTTCTGTTACGAATTAGCATTGTAAACTTGTGGGTGATTGGTAGGAAACATACGGTTGATAACTTGAGCGAGTCCATCTCCGTTTCTGGTACCAGCTGTTCCCTCTCTGACCATCTGAGTAATCTTTTCTGATGTTAGAATATATTCAAGAGTAATTGGCTGAGCTACTTACAACTCCATCAGGGCATGGAAACTGAACTTGTCCAGTGATGTCGCTGTGGCAAGTTCCATCACCGTTGTGGCATTGCATCAGTCCTGGGTTTCGGACTCCGTTGTTGGTGGTGGGGACTCTAACACAACCACCGCTTTCTTGGATGATTGTAGCGAGAATGAAGCGATGATCAACCTTGGTCTCTTGGGCTACCTGCTGGATAGCATTGTAGATCGCTCCGACCTCTGGTCCACTATCGTCTACATGGTCAAAATTAGTAAACTCCTTCTGAGATGGATGAGTAGTAAAAGAAATCAAAGTTTTGAAGACCACTGCTCAGAGAAAATGGAAACTCACCCGCACCCCATGCGTTCCATCCGCAAGCTCCGAACATGAGGACTTTGTTGTTGTCGAACATAGCGCGGAAGCTTACCCATTGATTCATAGCTGGCCTGTGAGATTACAAGATCAGTAATCATTCTTGTTTTGTGTAATGTGCACCTAACTGAGGGTGTGAAAGTCCACACGACACTTGGGCCACCAAACGGATTTGAATTCTGCAAGGGAATATATATCACTTACCAACCAGCTTCAGGACCACCATCCCCAGTGTATCGTCTGTAGGTATCTGAACCTTCGCCAATACCATCTTCGTTGACGATGGAGTTTACTGCAAGGGAGCCTTGGACAACACCCCCAGTGGCCAAAGTAGAGAACTCTTTCTTGGCAGGCATGAAGTTACCATTCTCGTTACCGAAGTGAGGAACTCCAGCAGTGCCATTCAAGGAAGCTAAAGAATTGACACTTCGCTCAATGAGTGGAGCAGAGTTGAGTGGGAGTGCAGAGAGAAGTCCAGCAAAAAGACTTGCTGTCAAAATCTTGGAGAAACCCATCTTGAAGAGTTCTTTGTCAAATTTCTTTGATATATAAGTCTTGAGTAAAGAAGTTGATCTGGTGCTTGGTGCTTTGATCTTCTATTTGACGCGGTCATAGCTTCTTTATATACTCCTCTCTTTATGTGGTATTGTACTAAAGCTTGCAGCCCTCACGGAAGAAAGAAATTGTGTCTCTCATCCAGCAAAAGCCTTTCCAAGCTTCCACTCATCTTTTGCTTCATCCAGTCTTACGATAGCCTTCTACTACATCCGTTTCCGGTGGGCAGAGTCAATACCTTGATGTTACGTTTGGGTCAGACGTGCCTGCAAAATGCCAATTTCGATATTCAACTCAACTGGTACTCATTCATCATATGGCAGCCTATCCCGCTTTCTTGTCAGACATGTCCAAGTGATCGCTTTCGATTATCCCATTTTGTCATAGTGTAGTGTCAGTAACAAATAAGCTCGGGCACCAGCTACTAAGTTGATTGAGAACAACCGTCCACTCAAAGTCACTTCTCAACTATGCCAAGCTCGTTATCCCCACGAAAGACATATTTACTTGCAGCGAAAAGTTTTCTGCGTTATATTGATTACAACAAAAAAAAGTCTCACAAGATATGCATGTAAATTTCCTTCAGGGGTTTGCCATTTCGCTTAAGGTTTTTACACTACCTGCCTCCGAGTCCCGGTGGTCAAGATAAGTGGCAGACTTGGCGTAGTCGATTATTTTCAACAATGTTCTCTACCGAGAGTCTGCTAGCGCTTTGCCTTCTCAAGCAATGAAACCAACCTTTACGAAACTCCTAAGAATGGAATGCAAGCTCACAACGATTTCAAATAGCAGTGTTAGCGGCAGGAGAAAAAAGCTCACAGGACCTGATTACCGTATAAAGCGGTATATTACATACCATTCGGCAATGAAAAGTTAAACTTTCGACGATCATAACCTAATCGTAAAGAAAAAGAAAGACCGAATAAACTTCAATGTCGATCAGAACCACCATTTATTCTCTATTATGCCGCTTCCACCACCACCATCACATCCACAACCCCCTCTTCATACGGTAATTCCGGCGACAATTTTCACTTGAGCGGCAGTAAGTAGCCCAATCGCATCTAAAGCCCCTTGGTAAAACATACCAATTCACGGCAACTACGGTTCAAAAGCCGATTTTCTCTCGTTCTGGCATAACCGGCGGATGTGATATTGACGATAGCTTTGCATTCAACAAAACACGGATACAGCATCCGAAACCCAAGTCACGATACTCATAATTCTATGCGAATATCACAAGTGGCGCTGTTAATCATCAAAATGGTGTTGCAGTTTCTTTTTCAAAGCCTCCTGTTCATTCTTGATACCATGTTCAGATGTCTACCTGCTCACGTTACACACAATTACATGAGGCAGATTTGCGCCTTTGCAGACAATATTACAGTAGTCATTCAATACAACTCCACCCATGGACGATCTTTCCTTCGAGAAGTCTGGACGTCCAAAATTTATTTTGAGGCTGAGCTTATGTCAGATAATAAGTTCTCTCCCCCAGTTTGTAATCACGATCGGACTTGGCAGTTCAGTGCTGTACCTGGCATTCATCGCAAAGGGGAAATAATCTCTGTCTTACACCACCGAGGAAGTGGTATGCTACCCCGCAACCTCAAGACCCTAAACAGGTACCCCGGTCTCCAACTTTTGTACACTAGTTTTTGTCTCACATCACGGACATAGTACGGAACGACACAGTCATGGTCAGCAACCTTTCCATAACGTCAGCCGGCAATCAAGCGATTTAAGCATACCGACATTTCGTGATACTTTCCTAAATCGGGCTTGGGGTCGAGTTTATCCACAATCTTCTTCTCATTACCCCAGTACCCAGGTCCTGCCGATAATAAGCGAGGAAGGGGGTGTTTATCCGTCCATACCGTCTGCGTCCGCGTACTCCATACCACGGTATCTTGAAGAATTGCTTAACGGGCCGTTCTTGCAGGTGAGAATTCGCTGCATGTCATCTCGGTAGCCAAATTTTCTCTCGTATGGTTCTCGTGAAAAGAGCGGAGTGTCAGAATGATAGATGATCGTCCTGGAAAAGGAAGTTGGGATCACACCTACTGCTGATTTATGTGCCGTTTTTGGAGAGCATCGAGATATCATCTGCCCATATCTGCTTTTCTTACTGGGTTGTAAAGAACGCCACGATGTAGAAGGATGTCGATGGAGCATTGTCTTACTTTGGGGTTGTCACAAGTGCTATGAGATCTTTGACAAAGCTCCCTCGGTCACTTAGGTGAGTAATCGAGAATGGAAAAGAAGGAATAAGCTTGAGCTGAATGTTGTACAAGTAATAGCTTGGAGTTGGTATTTCATTTGTAGATGCAATTCCCTGGTCAAAGTCAATCATTTTTTCAACTACCTTTAAGCATCATGGTTGGGCTACTCTACCTCGGAACCTTGGTGAGCTCTGTTGGTGCTGTTGTAGTGCGTGTTCGTGATACAATTCCTTCACCTGCTCCAGAAGATGCTTTTCTGCCCAGCTTTCCCGTTGAAGGGAAATCGGTACCGTGAGTCTGAGAGATCCTTTTCCCATGAAACTTAACTGACAGTGTTTCAGAATTCCTGGTCCCGGTGTACCTGGAGGATACAACACCACCATCATCCCCTCCGAAATCCCAGATGCCCAACCAAACTTCCGCATCCAACAACTAGTCTCAGCAGCAACATGTCCAGGACCAGTAACCAGCAACCCCTCGGATTACTGGATGAACCGTATCGACCACACCGGCAACCCACGCGGCTACGCACCATTCCTAGCAGACTACTTTACCTTCCCCGTCTGGAGAAACGTCCTCGACTACGGCGCCAAAAACGACGGAACGGGCGATGCCACGCCAGGTATCCAAGCTGCGCTCAATTACTACAGCGATCAGGATAACCGCTGGAACATCGGTGATACCTTCGCGACGCCTGCTCATGTCTTCTTACCGGGTGGTACTTACAATTTGAAGACCAAGTTGGATTTGAGAATTGGTACTCTGATTATGGGAGATCCGCAGAATCCCCCGATCCTGAGAGCTGACGCGGGGTTCTCGGCGGATATTTTGATTCAGGGTTATGATGGTAGGTGCTTTTCACGAGGTGAGAGATTGTTTTGTTGACTTGGTGTAGGAACGTCGCGTAATAGCCCACCGGAGACTTCGTTCTTGACGGCTTTGAGAAATGTGGTTATTGAGTAAGTGCTTGCCCCAGAATAGGTGAGATCTGTGTGACTGATTCTCTGAAGTACGAGAGCTGTGAATAAAGATAAGTCGTTGGTGGCTCTGCAGGTACTGATCACTCGTTCCTCTTTTACACCTCTCTTGTCCTCTCGCTCTTCTCACTGTGTAAAGCTCATACGCTAATAAGCTGCGAAGTGGGGCGTCGCACAAGGATGTGCCATCGGAAACGTCCAAATCTTCATGCCCGATGATTCCAATGGTCACATCGGGATATTTCTCAATGGCGGAAGTACCATCGCAGTGACAGATGCTCGCATCCAAGGAGGCGTTGTTGGAATCCAAAACACCAACCAACAAGTCAACTTCAAAAACATCTACTTCAAGAACTGCCGCACCGCCTACGCTGGAACAGGAGGCTTTACCGCTTTGTTACAGAAAGTCACCTTCGACACTTGCGGTCTTGGGATCGACATCACTGCAAATGATGGCAAAGCAGGAAATGTCGTGCTCTTAGATTCCGTCTCCACCAAGTCTGGTACCACCGTCAAGTTCAGAGAATCTGCACCAACTGCCCCATTGCGAAATAACCAAGTCGTCATTCAGAACCTGAAGCATGATACCACAAACGCTATTGCCGTCAATCAAGATAACGCTGTCAAATTGGCTGCAACGAGTCAAGTCGATACTTGGGTTTGGGGAAACTCGCTCCCGGGACAATTTCAAAACGGTGCTTCGTATACTACTACAAGACCTCCTGCTCTCCTAGCTTCGGATGGCACGTTCTTTACCAAGGATGCTCCGACTTATGCGGGGTATGCTATTGATCAGATTTTGAATGTCAAGAGTGTGGCGGGTTTCCCTGTGAATGGAGATGGGAGCACGGATGATTCTGCTTCGCTTAATGCTATTCTTCAACAAGCTGCTGCGAATTGTCAGATTGCGTAAGTGTGTCCAGTGTCGATGGAGGTATGAACTTACACAATCAAAGATATTTCCCTTATGGTGTGTATGTGGTCAAAAGTACCCTCTTCGTTCCAGTTGGATCTCGAATTGTTGGAGAAGCTTGGGCTGTCATATCTGGCGCTGGAGCAACATTCAAGGGTAAGTGATTCCATCACAAAACACTTGCAGAATACTGAGTCTCTTATCATTTAGATGCAAACAACACACAGCCCATCGTTAAAGTCGGAAACTCTAACGATGTCGGCGTAGCCCAAATAAGCGACATGAGATTCACGGTCTCAGAGGTCCTCCCAGGAGCCATCATCGTGCAAGTCAACATGGCCGGGTCATCCCCAGGAGACGTCGGTATGTGGAACACAGTAGTCAACATCGGAGGAGGCGCCGAATCCACCGTCAAGACCCAATGCAACAACCAAGACACCATCAACTGCAAAGCCGTCTTCCTCGCCGTCCACCTTACCGCCAGCAGCAGCAGTTACCTCCAGAACATCTGGGTTTGGACAGCCGATCACCACGTTGACGGCGGCGCAGACCTCCAGATCATCTCCACGGGTCGCGGAATCCTGGTCGAATCTACGAAAGCGACCTGGCTGGTTGGAACTGGATCCGAACACCACTGGCTATACAACTACAACTTCAACAACGCGCAGAACGTCTTTGCCGGTCTCCTGCAAACCGAAACCCCCTACATGCAAGGCAATGGCGCGCGTAGACTTGCACCTGCTCCCTGGGTTGCCGTGGCCCGCTACGGAGACCCGGATTTCTCGTGGTGCGACGGCGGGAATGGGAAATGTCGCAGTTCGCTGGGTCAAAATGTGAATGGAGGATCCAACATCTTTCTGTATAACACGGCGAGTTGGGCGTTCTTTGATGGTGATTGGAATGGAGTTTATACGTCTGATAATTACTGTTCGGGCAATTGTCAGACGAATATGTTGAGGGTTGCGAATTCGCCGTCGAGGTTGTATTGGTATGGACTTGCGACTAGGTCGACGGATGTTATTGTTTTTGATGGGGCATCGAATCCGACTACTTTTAATAACCCTGGAGCGTGAGTTTGAATTCCCCTCCGTTGGTTCGTTGTACGGTTTGTTTGCTGACTTTTATAGATGGGGTGGAAACGCTGCTGCATATAGGCAATTCTCTTAGGTTTTGAGAATATGGATAGAAGAATTTAGACTGTCTTGCAGCGAGAATTCAAAGAAAAGTAGAAGTGTATAGCCGTCCTGCGATGGTAACTTTCTTGATAGCCCATAGTCCATATAAACGTCTCAAACCACCAAGATGATTCATCAAGTATCCTGGAACAATCAAATGAATTTTTAAGATGCGTTCACTCCCAAGACTGTGGAAGACACTCTCGGTTACCCGTACGTGAAAAGCATCGAAAAAAGGGGAGAGTTAGTCAGGTGAATATTTTCAACCCTTATTTTATCACAATACGAGTACTGTGTGGAAAATTTGATTATTTCGGACATAGCCAGAGGAAGAAGGATTATACTTGTTGGAGGTATCATCTCTTCTGTCCCCTGAACAGTGTTTTCTACCGGTATTTTCCAACATCAGACGGAGATCGGATCTTCGTAAAAAGAAACCCCCGAGGAATTTGTGCTTGTATGTGGTACTGGGAGGCAGTGACACTCTGGCTTCTGTAATTGACCCAGTGTTTCGAGGACCATTCAGACATTTTTATATTTATTGTGCGAGTCTTTAGCAGGACTTTGAGTCGTTGTGGGTAACTGTAGAACTCGCAGAGATGTTGCTGCTTGTTCTCCTAGGAATTCTTTCCTCCTATTGAGGTACTGTGTGAATTGTTATTTACCGATGATTCAGGAATTCGATACGAGCTCGCTTCCTGTAGATGGGAAAGTTTGTATAAGTGGACTCTACCTCTGTAGTTTGCACCAATAAAGCCAACACTCCTCATATGCAACTCGGTAGAGTGCAGTGTTGTATGTATGCGAGCAGGTGTCGGTACTCGTACTGTGGATGTTTGATCATCTCCAAATTTTAAATGTGGTGGAGTGAACTTGAGCTTGACTGAATTTAAATGTTTCAGATAGAGTGTTGGTCACAGGCAACACTCTGGCGAAAGACCGATCCGAGTGCCGAATCGGGCTTAGTGGGGGATTCTGACAGCGTCCGCTCTGCCATATCTACTCGAGTATTCCGTAAGCGCATCCTCACAGCCAAGACAGCGTAAGTATTGCTTTACAGACAGCGGCGGGCGCCTTGTTTTATGGATGCTACCAAATACTCGTACTGAGGACTTACTCCTTTTAGCAAACCGACGACTTCATTCCTGAACCCTCTACTTCTACCCCCCATTCTACCCCCTTCTTTTCGCTCGTCTCTCATTAACCATTCCATTCACATTACTCGAGTATCGGTCCCTATCACAAACGCCGCCCCAGCCTCGACAGGCCAGTCCCAGGGCCAGGCTAGACTCCGCCTGATTCAGACATCACCACCACATCCCGACAACGCCCCTAAACCGCCACCTCGAATATCTTCCAGTATCTGCATCTGCATTTACATCTGCCACTTTTCCCTTCCCCGCACCGTGACGTTACTGTTGCCGTTGGAATAGCTTCACATATTCCCCTCCCTATCGCTCCACCTAGCCGGCAGAGCTAATGCTTCCTCCTCCGGGCTCGGAGGCCTCACTTCTTCCCTTGCTCGAATCTATACCAACAGGCGCTCTCTCGTCTGCCATAGCCACAGCTACCTCTGTACTTCCCACTGCGGCCCACGCGCTCTCCACTGCCACGGGTGCTGCTGCTGCCATCGCAACAGCAGCTGTCGCGTCCCAGTCCTCAGACGGCTCACCGTACAATGAACCTCCAAATGGCGAATGCCAGTTATTAGGCCCTTTTGCAATTCTCGTACAAGGATCCTTGGGACTATGTGCCCTGTTAGCTTTGGTATTCAAACGATGGCGAGAACGACCGCAGCGGCCCGTCAAGATCTGGTTTTTTGACGTGTCAAAACAAGTAGTGGGGAGCGTGTTGGTACATATTGCGAATTTACTCATGAGTATGATGTCCTCTGGACAATTCAGTATAAAGTTGGATCCAGCCACGGTAGCTCAGAGGCGGGCGCTAGACAATCGCGGAGAGTATCAACCCAATCCTTGCTCGTTTTACTTGTTAAATCTGGCTATTGATGTAAGTGATTTGTCTCCTTTGCTTGTTGCAAATCATGAGCTAACCCCATGTCATAGACTACAATCGGAATCCCCATCCTAATTTTCCTTCTTCGAATCCTCACAGCCCTTTTTGCGAGAACTGAGTTCGGTACCCCCCGCGAATCGATAGAATCGGGGAATTATGATAACCCACCACGATCGTTATGGTGGTTGAAACAATCCTTTATATATTTCTTAGGGCTTTTAGGCATGAAGATTTGCGTTCTCATCATATTCCTAGTTCTCCCCTGGATATCTCGTGTTGGAGACTGGGCACTGCGGTGGACCGAAGGGAATGAGGTGTTACAAGTCATCTTCGTCATGTTGGTATTCCCGGTAATTATGAACGCCACACAATACTATATCATCGACTCGTTCATCAAGAACCAAAATCCCGATCACGCACATGAACTGATCCCCGACCACGATGATACGGCTCGTGTGGTCAACCGCTATGAGGATCCAAGAGATGGAGGCGACGAAGATTCCGACTCCGACGAAGACCCCGAAGTCCAAGTCAAGGCAGATATTGTGAGGAAGGCGCATAAGAAGAACCGCCATGGGAGCGGAAGCAACGACTACGATCCGTTATTTGATGGCGAGACAAGTCCTACGGTTGTAGGGAGTGCCAGTACGAGCCACCGAACTCGGCTGGAAGGAGATGACGAAGGGAAGAAATCTAATCGATAGAGCAGGAAGGAGCGATTTGAGTCCAGCGGGTTTTCACTTTGACTTCTTTTCTGGGGGGAATCGATTGTATATTGTGTACAAAGCGTCCGTCGATTCTGAGAATGACATGCATGGAGTAGGGGCGTTTTTCTGTTTTTGTGTTTTCCTTGAATTCGTATAGGAAGGAAGGAGCATTGTTGTTTTACCTTGCATAGCGAAAAAATTACTTCTTCTTTTTGTCCAAATAGAACTCTTGGAGAGCTTAATTTTCTGAAGATTAGTTACTGTAGGAGGTAGAAATCTTTTTAACTAAACTTGTTTTATTTTCTTTCGTTCCTGAGCCTGGTTTTGAAATTCTTGTGCTGCCTTAGTAAGTTCCTGGGAATGGGAATGGGATAAAGTGCCTAGGCGACTGATTAATGACTTGATATCTATATATTGATTTTCGCTTACTATTCCTAGTATACAGTATAGTAGATTCCTAATCTTGGTATCTTATTTTAGTCCACCCGCATCTAGTGAAAATAACTTAATTCTCGAATGGTCGAATGGGGGTTTAGTACCTTTTATATGCACTCACGATATCGCGTTCTAGAAAGTCTAGGGATTGGATAAAAGAAGCTCTGAGTTTGTAAATTGTTTTTGGAGGGGGGGGGTTGAGAGGTGAGGGTGCTTCTTGTTTGGGAGGCTATGTACGAGAGAGAGGAGGGGGAGGGGGTAACTGGGATGAGATGGGATGAGATGGGATGGGGGGTTCTTGTGGTGGGGGGAGGCGAGATGAGGAGGTGAGGAGGTATGTGATGGATGGATAGGAGGGGTAAGAGTCTCTGGTTTTTAGATGCTTGCTTGGAGGTTTTTTGAAGGGATTAGTAAAGGTATTAAGTAGGATAATTTTTATTATATAATAAGGTTGTTGAAATAAAGAGCTATATTTATATCTCTTGAATACTATACGTTAATAATAGCGAGAGCTTGTAGGTAGACTATAAACCGAAGAATTCGGTATAGTAATCTACCTACAAAAATAGGTTAGAATGAAGTTAATAAGAAGATAAGGTATTAATAAAATACGTATTAAGTAAGTAGAGCGTTATATAAGTAGGAGATAAGTTTTGGATATTAGAATAGAAGGTATATAAAGTATTTGTATAAAAGCTTTGAGATCTACAAAGTAGATTTAGAGATATTATAATATTTAGTACTATACTTGGCTAATTATTCTAGCTATAGAGTCGTATATATGCTATATGTTATCAAATAATCCTACTATAGTATAATTTCTTATAGACTTTTACCGACTTAGTAGATCGGTATATCGGTATAGCTATATAGGGGTAACTAATAGTATTCGAATGTAATACATGGAAGCTAAGAAGCTTTCGTAGATAGCCTAGTTCGAATATAACCTATATAATATTCTATTCATTATTATTACGGCTTACTATGCCGTCGGAAAACAGGTTCTTGATTATGAGTCTAGCCTGGAAAGAGGTATTAGATTGCGTGACATGAAGACGGGAAACGCGGGAACTTACGGGAAATGTGGTGATCTGTGATATTTACGAGAAAAAGAAGTATATAAGCTACTATTTGGCAGTCCGTGTAACGAATACTCAAACTGGCTAACTAAACTTGGCTGGGTGTTCGCTGGTTGGTATGCTATGATAAGAAGAAGACTATCGGGTTGTTCACTTGGAAGTGAACTCGTTACTTGTATCAAAGATGTCAAACTAATATGATAAGATTGATAACTAAGTTGAGCACGAAGCTCCTATCTAATAGCAGACGTGCCAGTCTTATATAGAACCTCAGTTCTCTCGATGTTCGCTCGTTCGACAATCGAACTGGCTAACTGGCGAACTCCTAATATCACGTGATAAAAATACAGAGAAATCCCTGGATTGCTTAGCTACTCCAAATGATCCCTATTTGCTATAAGAAACCTGAATGTGCCTGTCGAGGGTTGCGCCTCTTATTATGACAAGTATCACGTGAGCACGTGATTCGTGACAGTCCGGTATAGATCTTTCGATCCGAGTCTTTGGGTAGATGGTCGAAGAGTTTCCTTATCAGAAGGTAATTTCTTGAAATCGTCCAGGTATTAAGCCGAAAAAGGGTTCAAGGTATATGAAAGGTTTCTAATGAGCAAAACAATGGGTACAAACATGAGCAACACATTTCTCCTAGTTAAGTTCCTTGAAATAAGATTCATTACTATTGGGTTGAAAGGGTATTGGGTACTGAAGGTCATGGAGAATTGATTGCCTTGTAAAAGGTAGCTATCTAAGGTGTTTATATAAAGAGTGTAAGGTTTAGGCAGACATGAAGCATTTAGGCAGCAGAACTATAAGTGGATCAAATAAGGAAGTGGAGCAAAAGAGAAAGTAGACCCAGCACAACAATTACACTGCTCGAAGAAGATATATTCTGGAAATCACGAGAAAATCGTTTCTACCACTCGGGCTCTATAGGTATATCTTAATGTAAATCAGGCAACTTTCGTTTTCGTCATTGCGTCGTTTCGTTGTCAAATCTTCCATTTCTTTAATACGCCCAGCTCATGTAATAGGAGTAAGTCCATTTACAAACGCCCTAAAAAGGGAAGGACAGGCACCTGACCGCCCCTTTCAATGATAATCCGCTCCCGATTAACATTCTTCGTTAGCAAATGTTCTAAATAAATATTATCCAAGCTTTCTAACAATCCTATAGTCTCCCGCTAGAACATATAAACCGAACTCTCAATATCCGCATCCAAAAGTCGAAGTTTGTGATGTAATGGTTTAGCCAGCACGGAATCCTATAAGAGTTAACGTTGTGTGTTCTCCAGTTTTTTAGTAGAAAATTAGTTTCTGGATCGTCGTCTAGAATCAACTTCTCTTGTGCTCGGTCTATCTCATCGTGTGCTTCAAGTAAGTCGAGATTCGCTTTTCTCGACTGCATTGGCCTGCTTTTAGCAATAATACTGGCCGCTTTGCGAGCTAGCTGGGTAATGGTGGGATTCTTTGGAGTTCTGACGACGCTTGCGGTTCGTTTGAGAAATGGCAGTGTCTTGTCTGGTAAATTAGTCTGGCCATTATGCGCTGACGTGAGGAGTTTTGTTGACTTGAAAGACGGGCTGTCTTCAAGCACTTCAAGTGTATCACCGTAGTCAACTAACTTCATTTGAACTTGTGAATTATCTAAAGCTCTCCGGATTTTCCGTCTTGCGAATCTTTTTTATCCCTGTATTACCCCTGTAGACTATTAGTCTTTTGGTATCCCGGCATCCTTGAGTTAGCGTTTTCAAGACCATGAATTTAGGTTAATGAACTCCAGGCAGTTGTGGTGAAACAACATCAAGTAAGTTGACACTTGTACACTTGAGAGAAATATATGAGGATGGACAGTTAACAAAGCTGGACACTGCCACGCAGTCCATACGAAGTACTTAAAAGAAGTCTATGTCGCCCAGACTCGAGTCTCTGATTCGCTGGTTTAGCTGAAAATCGGGGCCGAGCCGTAGCATAGTCAAGGACAGAGTCCAGCTTCAACTGTCCAACCCCTTAAAATGTCCAGCGCCACGATGTCGATGAAAAGCCGCCTCAGAAATAGGCGAGACATTTTCAGGTTTGTACCAATCGTGCAAATCGGCATGCTCAACACACGCTTGGCACCCAAAGTCTGGGGCCCCAAAATGCGGAAATGCACGAGCAATTTTGGGATGATAGAAATACCCGCATATCAAAAATCGTGAACGGGGAAGCGGATAGTAGTGAAAATCTTTCACGGATGCTAGTACGGAGTACTTTGAAAGTAGTTGTAAAGTCAAGATCTACACTTCCTATAGTTTTTAAAGAATCTAGACTGCGTACAAGACCCCTGTTTACACATTGCGCAGGTGCTTCTATATGTGTCCAGTAGAGCGGGGTTGGATATCTTTGCGCTCCAGAGACTGGAAATTATCAGAAAAAGCCATTGTCTTGATCGGTATTGGCTATTTTGTAGGACAGTTTGAACATTCCCACACCTGGCGTTGATTTACTTGAACTCTCCTGGGGTATCAAAGTTATTCGAGAGCTATTGAATGTTATGTAATGCACTTCGAAGTTTTGGGCTGAAAGTAACTTTTTTTGGAGCGAGGCACATGGCAATTATGTTCAGCCGTCGATCTCGATTCTCTTGTACGGTACATCTTTATCAGGGTGTTCTCAAGAAATGCTTGTTGTCTCGACTTCACATTTAAGCGATAATTAGCCGAGGTGTATGGTGACATTCGCCAAGAGATGTTGGTAACGGCGAACCCGATCAGACCAGTTCCAAGGATATCGGGATACGACGACTCGACAAGAATAGAAAACGGAGGATTAATATCTACTGTGGAGTAAGAATCTCAATTGTAGCCAATTGACTCGCTCAAAGTTGTCACACGCTAGTCGTAGATCACAGGTCTTGGCAACCTTATCTCTCCATTTTGCCCATTTTGCCTGTAAACCAAGATTCTACAGAGAAAATCAAACGCCAAGGTAGATCATGTGCAATTGCTCGCTTATGCCGACATTGAGCAGTAATTTTCCAGTGTAACGGTGGGATTCTCTCCATGTTTGTCCAAGGTACTTCGTAGAAGCACGTTACCGTGCTTTTGGGATCATTGACAACCTGCTTGAAGCGGAGCGATCCCTCCTTTTCTTCTACTTCATACGGAGTACTTGGAAGTAATTCACTCCCCCAGCAGGCGATCAGTGGGTGCGATTAGATGAAACTGAGCTGGGAGTGGTTGATCCGAGGATTCCCTTCGACCTGGGGAGCGTAATCATTTAATAACTCAAAGTACAGAGTATGTCTTCACAAACAATCGTAGCAATAAGATGAAGCTTACGAAGACGTTGAAGATGCAGTAGAAGCTACTCCGTACGTTGCTTAATAAATATACACTTGAGTCCAAGCATAGACTGAGGACCTCTTGTTGCCTTGCTGATAAAATTAGGTAAGAAACAACTTCCACTTTGAGACAGCAAAAATAGCGTGGATTTATGGGCCCAAGGGACACTGACATGCCAGTACGAAACCATTTAAGCAACAATCTTTATGTGCGCCTCATCCCTAAAGTGCTAACCGACTCCGTACTGTAATTTCACAAGGGCGATCCTTTCTTGGTATGCCCATGCTGAAGATGCGGTGGGCCCTCATAAAAGGGACAAGTCCCATCTTGTCAGCCCTTTTCTTCCTACCGCACTCGTTTCCATTCGTCGTGTCCATTTTCGTTTCTTTTCTTATTACTTTCCTTCTTCGAAGCACCACACTCATTTTTATGTATAATCACTTCACTTTCTTATATTCCTCATGTTGAAACTCAACGTGTTTACTGCCTTGGCAGTCTTTTTCACTTTGACCGCAGGAGTTCCCATTCCACCAACCCATCAGGATGCCACATTTCAATTGATGGGAAGATCGCCTGCGATGGCTACAACAGCAACCGACGCAGCAATCGAAAAGAGGTTTCTGGGAGCGATAATTGGCGCGGGAAGGATTGGGCTTGGACTTGGAAAGAAAGTCCTCCCAAAGGTGCTTGAGAAAGGAGGAAAACTGTTTGGCAAAAAGCCACCCAAAGCTCTGGAAGGTCCGAAGCCACCACCCATCGCGAAGCCCGGATCTATTCCACCTGGTCCCCCTCCACCATATTCACCACCTCTAGGTGCTGTTGCCCCGAAGGCCCCGATCCCACCTCCGCCTCCACCTCCACCTCTACCTGCTGCTGCTGCTGTTGCCCCAAAGGCCCCGATCCCACCTCCACCTCCACCTCTACCTGCCGCTGCTGTTCCAAAGGCTCCAGCTCCCGCCGTTCCAGGCACGCCTCCGGCTGGAGCCGCAAAGGCCGCCGATGGATTACCAGCTCCAGCTCCTCCACCTGGAGTAAATGGATTACCAGCACCCGCCCCTCCACCTGGAGCCGTTGGCGCAGCTGGAGTTGGAACCGCTGGAGTCGCTGCACCTGGAGCCGCTGGTGCAGCTGGAGCTGGAGCAGAAGGTGCCGCAGGAGCCGCCGCAAAAACCGCAGATGGATCACCAGCTCCCGTAACTCCACCTGGAGCTCTAGCAAAAGAAGGCGACGATATTGCAAAAGAAGGCGACGAACTAGCAGAAGGAGCCGAAGACGCTGCGAAGAAAGGATGGAGGCCAACCGTTTCAGATGGAATCACTGTCGGAGTGACCGGCTTAATGATGGCACCTATGCTTATTCCAGCGGGCGGATCGAAAGAAGCCGCCCCAGCAGCTGGAGCCGCGGGAGCTGCTGCAGGAGCAGCAGTAGGACCTCCTCCTCCAGGATTTGCACCACCTCCACCTCCACCTATGTATGCGCCACCTCCTCCAGCTGCATTTCCCCCACCTGCTGCCCTTGCCGCCGGAATTCCAGCAAAGCATCCTATGTAAAGACCGGAATACTCTCAGTCTTCTTTACAGAAGCTACAAGACTTCCTCCCCAACAAGCGAACAACCCAAGGTCCCGTTCCTTAACGAATTTTGGCTGTCAAGAATTTTCCTGGCAATGGGCAGTGTTAGCGTTGATCTCAGCGATTATTTTTTGTAGACAATGGTTCAGTACGGGGTTGAGAGGCTTCGAGGTCTTTGTATGATGTCTTTGTCTTTTCTGGCGTTCAGTTACTTGAGGAGCCCTTGCACTGTGGGATCGCTTCATTCAGGGGTTCGAGGTTTGGAATGTATTTAAATGATAGTTATTAGATTACAAGCACGCATTTACAGTTTGATTCCATGAAATATTCAATTTTTCCTCTCAAAAATATCTTGATTACTCCAAGGACTCCTCGATGTGTTTTTCAAGCATATTGGTGACATTTTCTGCTGAATCGGGGACGTGACAGTGTAGCGTTACGGAGGTGGGCTCCGAATGGATACAATCGGGCCGATACATGTCCGGCCTGTGTAACGTAAGAGCCGCCCATGCCGCCTCACGCATCTCAGCCTCATCGCATCAACCTACGACAAAAAGCCTCTCTTGCGCCTCTTTTCCTCAACTCAGGGCTAGGTTCAAGACAGATGAGGCCAGCATGTCACTTTGCAAGGCGAACCCTATTCCAAATCTCACCTAGACTGCTCATCTGCGCACATCGACGATGTCTTCTCACGCTAGCCATCGAAACAAGCTGCGATGATACCTGTGTAGCCATTCTCGAAAGGCACAAGAACCGCTCTGCCACCCTTCACTTCAATTCGAAGATAACGTCCGACAACCGACCATATGGGGGAGTCTATCCCATCGTCGCACACGAGTCGCATCAACAAAATATTGCTGCTTTGGTGAAGCGGGCACTGAGCAATCTACCAGCAGCATCACAATCGCAGGCAGACGAGGGAAAAGAAGACACAATGGTCATTACAGATGAAAGTGGTAGATCAGTAAGGAAGAAGCTAGATTTTGTCAGTGTAACAAGGGGACCTGGAGCGCGAGCAAGCTTGATAAGCGGCGTTGACTTTGCCAAAGGCTTCGCAGTGGCATTGAATATTCCATTAGTTGCCATAAATCATATGCAAGCTCATGCGCTAACCCCTCGACTCCTGGCAGCACTTGAAAAGCAAAATATGGAGAATGCAGAGACGATACCAACGGACCCTCCGTTTCCCTTTCTCACGTTGCTGGTATCTGGCGGACATACCATGCTTGTCCACTCGAAAGATCTCTGTGACCACGAGATCATCGCTAATACCACCGATATTGCCATAGGAGATATGTTGGACAAGTCAGCCCGTGATATTCTCCCCCAGATACTACTTGATAGTGCCCCGTGTGTTATGTACGGCCCTTTGCTCGAAAATTATGCATTTCCGAATAACGAGGGAGACGGGGAACGTTTTTCAACACACCACGCAAAAGAGCTTTCAGAAAATTCATATGGATGGAAGGTCAACTCTCCTTATGCTAGATCAGGGCCCCGGGGGAAATCATCAAACCAGGAATCATTTTCATTCTCGGGAATTGGCAGCTCGGCTAAAAGAATTGCGGATGGAAACACAAATGTGGACGAAGCCGAAAGGCGACTTCTCGCTCGGGAAGTTATGAGGGTGTCATTTGAACATCTTGCCTCTCGGGTGCTACTCGCTTTGGAAAAGGCAGAAATAAAGCACGTGAGAACTTTGGTTGTTTCGGGAGGTGTGGCAAGCAACCAATATCTCAAATTTATTTTCAGAACCCTATTGGATGATAATGGTTACTCGTATATAAGGTTGATATTTCCCCCACCAAAATACTGCACGGATAATGCGGCGATGATCGCCTGGACAGGCATCGAAATGTTTGAAGCAGGTTGGAGAACTGATTTGAGTGCTATGGCGATTAGGAAATGGTCGATAGATCCTGCTTCTGAGGATGGTGGAATCTTGGGTATTGGCGGGTGGTTGAAGACTGAAGCACTCAGGTAACGTGAAGTATTCCTATATCTTGTAAGAGAGGCCTTCGTTACCCTGAACGCACTAAGGGCAGAACAACATTATCCTAAGAGTCTCATACAACTCAAATAACTTTATGAGCGGTCTAGGACAGTTAAGTTGACTGCATAAGGAATTCAAGAACAATAGATTCTTAAGGTGTCTCCAGAGTAATGGACAGGTCTCCTAGATGCACCTCTGCTCTGTTTCCCCTTTGTAAGGTGATATCCCCTAATATCTAATGTCCAGCCATTATGTTTTCTCGTTATTTGTACTTGTATTTGCTGCCTCAGCACTGAAGTAACCCCCTCATCTCTAATGTTTGACGAGCAATTCATAATGTTTGACGAGCACTTCACTGGCTCTACGATCTAAAATTTGTTATTCTCGTTTGATTCACTATGAACATGCGAACAGGCTACATAGTCAATTCAAAAATTGGTTTCACTGTGCTCTTGGGAATTTACAAGGAATCTCTCCCTTTTTCACTGTCTTCTTTTCTATAGGAAAATCTAGTATTGGCAAAGAGATGATAATATATCTCTCATCTAGCTAAGTAGGTCACTATAGGCATAGGTGGATCTTTGAGCTGGCTACTTTGGTTGTCCTAGAACACTAGATCAAGTATTTAAAGTGGTTTAAAATGTTAGTAAAAAGGTATTTTAGTGAATTAGCAGAAAAAGTCTATGACGGAGTAATTGTAGTGTTTCTCTTCTACTATAGGGATGTCAACTTTAGTACTATTCACTATTATTAGTAATACCACTCCAGTTTCTTTTATTACTCCTTTTAGACTAGACTGCTTAATGCCTTAACCTAGGTCTTAGGTGAAGATGCTGGAGTTGTTGTGGCTGTGACGTTTGGCAAATTCATATTCACGTTTGACTGGTATTCATATTCTATATGTTTCCATGGGCGCACCTGACCTAGAGCTACGACGCGTCTCTTGTAGTTGGACCACATCAAAACTATCAAAACTCACACACCGACCGTATTGAGTTGCGGCCTCATCACACCGACCGCGTCTCTTGGGAGTTCAACCACAACTGGAACTCACATCCTACATTTTGTGCAGACAACGTGTAGTAGTATCCAGTTCAGAAAACTCTGTTGCAGATACAGGTACTTCTGTTGGAACCTTCTTGGAAAAGTCCACTAAAGTTCATCCGACCTTGAAAGACATAACTGATATATTTGAATAGATTTATTTGTCACCATGGATGAGATGACGGACTTGGAATCCCCTAGTCCCTACAAGTCACCCCGTCGCAAGTCTCTCGGCAGAAGTGATTTGACAGATGCCATGGCATCCCCATCCGAGTCTCGACATCTGCCATCGTCGTTACCTCGCTCTTCACTTGCGCCAGCCGCCCAGTTGAGTACTGCCACCCTGAATCAATCATCAGCTCCTTCAGCATCGGCTCTCCCATCGACCACTGCCGCTCAAGACCATACAGCTTCTCCTTCTGCACCAGCTCTCCCGTCGACAACTCCCATGCCACATCAATCATCTGCTCCTTCAATGCCTCAATTTGTACCCTCAACCCCTAGAGATACTTTGCAAGATCAGATGCAACTTTATCTTACCAAGTTCGAGAATGTTCAACAAATGGAGCGTCAGCTTATGTCCGACCTCTCCTGCCTTCACGGAGAATTTCTTTATCTTGGAGAGGAGTCCCAGGAGATTCGAACGCTTTTCTTGGATGCTGGTTATCTCGACCTCAGAGGCTTCCAGAAGGTTGATAACCAACTAGCCAAGATCATTAAGAGAATCACTGCACGTCAACGAAAGTGGACCAAGAATAGTGGCTCAACCCAGATCAAGGACTTGCAGAATGAGATTGAGGCGGACAAGCAGGATCTTGATACGCATGTGTCTGCCCATCTCAAGAAGAAGAGTGAGTTGAGAGCCTTGCGTCTTAAGCTAGAGGCCATTAACCCCCATCCGGAATGGAAGATTCACGAGTACAAATCTGCCTACCGATACCAGGTTATTGGAAATCAAGCTCTGCCGCCCGGCTACCAACCTCGCAGCACCGCTGTCAAGACCAAGGCACGCAAGCGAAACTCCGATGTGGTATCGGCAGGTTCTGGTAGTGTTGTCTCGAGCAATAAATGCACTCCAGAGCCACGTACAGCTCAGTTGACCACCGCCACCGCAATTCGCCCTCGCTCTCGCGTCACTGCACAACATCATCCTCAAACCCAAATTAACGACTACTCCAACTTCGCACCCGTGACCTCGAGCAATCCGAACCGATTGATGCCAATCCAGGAGGCGGTCAGCTTCGTTGTTGAATCTGCAAACAACGACGCTGGTTCTCTTGCTCAGACCAGACCATCCAAGAGACCTCGTGTGAGCCAAGGCACGATGAGCAACGCAGACATCATCGGCAGATACGCCATCGACTTTCAAGTGTATAACGACCAAGTCCAAGCCATCCACGATGCAATGAAGACCCGCAAGCACTACATCGTCGCGCACAAGGCCGAAATCGCCCGCCTACAATCCGAGATCGATGACCATAATCTCTCCATCGCAGCATGCGAACGTGACTATGCCAATTTCGAGCGTAATCTCGACGAGAATGTGAGCTTCATTACAAGCAGTATGTCCGAATTCTCTGGATCCGTCCAGGAGATGGCTACTCAACGTCGCATGATGGAAGATGGCGCTGCCGACAACGAAACGAATCCTGATCAACCTGAGCTCTCTTATGAGGCGCAGAAGAAGGAGCTGGAAGCTCTTGAAAAGGCTTGTGCCGACCGAAAGGCTCGTCTTGCTGAGATGGAGAGTCGTGAGGCGGAGATGGAAGCTCGTGCTGCGGAGGAGAGTGAAAACGGAATGATGAAGGAGGAGGCCGAGGCTGCCCATCAGACACTGTCTAATGGAAAGTCTTGGGCCAAATAAGTTACAGGATGGTATCATGACTAAAGAAGCGCATTAGTTCCCGTGGTTATGTTGTTCTGTCGACAACGCCACTTGAACTTTTGCTGTCTTTGGACTCGGGTTTTGTACGACCTTTTCATGGTGTTTTGACAGCTGTGGAGCAAGGATTTAGGACTTGCGGTATCGCTAAGTGCTTACCAATGCTCTCGCTGTTACATTTCTTTCTTTCAACCTTCGCCTACTTTGGTGCGAGGAAGTGATTTGAGTTTGGATTCTTGCTGCGACTTGGATGTATTGTTGTATTGAATGTCATCTTGAAAGACGTGGTAACGATGGATATTAGTCTAGTCTCTGGCTTGGGATAGGTCTATATCATGGCTAAATTCAACACTCCCCTCTTATGGAATGTTCCTACATGTGATGAATAATTCTTGTCATTGCTCTACATAAAGTAAGATACACTAAGTAAATGTTATAAGGGCAGACTCGCATGATTGAATGGTTGAAGAGGTTTAGCATGCCTCTTATGTACCTGCTCTGAATCGAGCTCTCTATTATGACCGAGTTGAGCTTGTTTTGGGATAACTTTTTACCTAGCAGAATAACTTCGATGCCCAGAACATGGCTGGTTCTAGTCAAGAAAATTGCGATTGTAGCAGCGAGTAGTGATTTGAATTGATTTGAAACTATTCAACAATAGTTGGGGCATAGCGTGATCATGTAGGCCAGCTCCGAATAATCCCAGTTTCGGCATTTGACGCTAGGGAAAAGCTCTTGCGCGAATGGTTTAACAGCTATGAATTTCCTACTACTAGCCTAGTAGGGCTAATACTATACTCTCGAAAACCACGCGGGAAGAAAACCAAAGCAATAGCTTTAGCCAAGTGGACGTAATAACCCTTGTTCATCCTCTTACAATACCCCATCTACTTCCAAGGTATATCTTTCTTATAGGACTCCTCTGTTCTCATTCTCTATTGCTATTGCTAACCAAAAGACTATCTGTCGAAGAAGTCTTCTGGTCATAGCTTATAGGACATATAGTGTTTTCTACCAGGAGAGGTTTTGGCAACAAATGCACTACTTGGCAGGAAATCCAGAGGATATATTTAGACAAAGGAAATCGAGAAATCCAAAGCCATTCCCTTTTTTACAGGAAGCGAGTAGTTTTTGTATACTTAATGGTATAATAGCTGCCTTGGCAAAGACTCGGTATAGAAGCAGATCAAGTACTTTTCAAAAGAAGTATTAAAAGCAACGTTCGGCAACTGGAATTCCACTAAATCATGCGTTTTAATTGGTCAGAAAAGCAACTAGAATTCTATTTCTGTATAGAATTCCGGAGACTAATCGACAGAATTATTCCACTCTATTTTAAATGTGCCACAAGTCATTCGAGATAGAATATTCCTCCAGGAATACTATGGAATATGGTTCTATTCGCCGAACGTTACTGTAAGTGAAAGCAAATCAAAATCTCGCATTGAAATCTCGTCCACATCTGTAAACTTGCTCGAAGAACATTTCGCTGTCTTAAAACTGTGCCATCCACGCTCTGCACCAGTTCTCGATCCACTCCGGTTTAATACCCTCCACATTCCTTAACTTCTCACTCGCTTCAAGAGTCTTAGCCAGGTCAAACTTGGGAAGCAACTTCTGGTACGAGAAAAGCTCATAAACAGGAAGGAATTTCACACCCGGACTTCGCTTATCAAGCTCCTCACCCTTCAAACCACATGCCTCCGCATCCTCAGCAACCCTCTTCAACCACTCTTTCAACGCGACAACCTCACACTCTTTGCCTAAGCTTGAAGCATATTTCTGCACCGCCTTCGGAACGTAATCTTGCCAAATCTGCACTTGGGGATTTTGTGGATGAAAGACCACTGCATTCCCCCCCCTCGCCTTCCTCTCATCAAACGTCAGGCCCACCACAACATCCGCAAGCACATCAGCAGCCATCCAATCCATGTTATCAAAATCACCCTCCATTGAAGCGGGAACAGCACCAACAGCCACGGAATTAACCGCCAGATTTGTAAACCAATCATCGGCGTTCGCGAACCCTGCTCTCACAGCCGGTCCACTGATATGTCCTAATCGCGAGATCCGAGCATCAATGAGGAGTTTCTCGGCTGCGTAGTCAAGCACGACCTCGGAGACGTATTTACTCTGTGCATACCCCATTGCGGCGGTTGCTGAGATGTCTTTGATAACGACTTCTGGGATTTTGACGGATGCGTCTGAGAGGCCGCGGACGGCACTGGTGGAGGAGATAAAGTGGAATGTTGGATGTGTGGGAGAATCGTATGCGAATTTTGCGAATGCGATTACCCCGTCAATTTGCTATTCGAAGGCGGAGAGAGGGACCGTAAGGCTTACCGCCCACGCGTTGTGTATTATCTTTGTTGTTGTTTGAAACATTTGGGCATAGGTCTTTGGGTCTAGCCCGAAGTTTGGCTTGGTGGGGTTGCCGCTGAGGAAAGTTACGCGGTCCGAAGGGAAGTCGATTGGAACACCTCGAGTTTTGTTGCGCTTGATTTGAGATTGTTGGGAATCTGGCCCTCGGTTCAGACAGTATATGTGAGACACCGAGGGATTGTCGATGAGATCTAGTAATAAGTATGAGCCAAAGGCTCCAGTAGATTCTGTGAGAATCACGGTTTGCTTCTCGGTTGTGACCGCATTTTGTCCCTTGCTCGTTGGGGAAGTAGTTGCGATTTCGTCAACGAGTTTCTTTTTCCTTTCGATGGTTTCGCTTAAGGCGAGGTTTGGTTCCACATCAGCATTGGCTGGAGAAGATTCCATGTTGTTCCAACGATGTATTTGGTGATAGGTAGCAATGTATAGATGATATGCCCTCAAGTTGTCGTGAGTCTCAAAGCACTTTTGTAAAGGGCAATATTTAAAGGGAGATGTCTCAAGGGAAGTAAGGATCCTAACACTTCAAAGAAATGAAACGAGAAGTTGGATTTTGAATTGGTGGTCGATCGAGTTTGAAATGAAGGGGGAATCGCTTTGCGATGGATCAGGTCTATAAGACCTATCGTCTTCCTTTTAAGTAATATGTACGCATTGTCGCTATCATGCGTGGAGTTACAGTCAGTTGTTAGGGTGATGTTCTTCCCCACTAAACAAGACTTAGAGCAAACCTTCTTTGGGCCTTAGGATAATACTTCGTATTTAAGATCTGCAATGATTGGGACCCATTCTACCGCACCATTTTTTCTGAATGGAGCTGCACAACCACATGACATCACAGTAAAGCTAAGCGAGAACATAGGGAATTTCTTGGTCACCCCATCCTTGCCTGGATCTTATCAGATATTTGGCTATCCCAAATACAACGAGGCCATCGGAGTTTCGGAACGTATTTTGGCACCTTTGTACTTAATACACCGGGAAATCGGTACAGCTGGTACTTCCGAAATCCAGACGATTTATAATCGCTAGTTCTTAATCTTGCTTGTTGTTTCTTGGATCTTCTCCCGTCGTGCCTTGTGTGTCTGACTGTGAAAACAACTCGATTGTATCCGATGGCAGGATGTGTTTCGAGATACTAGGTCTGGCACATCGAGATGTTATCAAAAAAACAGGGGAATTTCTAGCTCCAGCAGGTTTGATTCGAACTGCAATATATCCCTTCTAGACTCGAGAGTGCCGGGTGCGGTCGTGCGTTCCAGGTGGAGTAAAATCATCCACTTTCTAAGCACTTTACGCTTGTGCACATACTGCCAATGCTGATCACAAATACGAGTACGTGACGCATAGTACTAGTAGTAGTGGATATCCCTTACTCCGTAAATGACACAAACCAGTAGGCAGAACCGCCTAATCAGGTTTTTCCTTAGTACCCTCGCCGCTCAAAACCGGCAGAAACTAATCAAAACTGGTAGAACGCAACCTGCAAAACCTGATTGGGCGGTTCTGCCTGCTGGTTTGTGTCAGTTACGGAGTAAGGGATATTACAATTTGGGGACGATTTTGTAAAGGAAAATAGAAGTAATGATTTCTATAGAATATCTAGACATTTCCCTCTATATTTATACGCGTCGCTATACGATTTATTATAGTGACTAGTATACCGAGCAGAGAAGATCTTTTATATCTTTACTACCATGTTTTTACGTGTCGAGGTTTAACGTTCCTAGATCTATATAAACCCACTTTCCAAGATCTTAAGCCTATATATTATATCTACAAGTGCACACGACCGCACCCGTCACTCTCGAGTCTGGAAGGGATATGGGCCAAACTCAGGGAGAGTAATGAGTCAATCCGAAGTTTGAATTGTCTTCTTTCGTCAAAGTTCAAAGTGGAGTATTGACGAAAGGGCTCCCTTTCTTTGACAGAAGCTAGAGTATGTTGCCAAACATTTTTTTGGAAGGCAGAGCTGACATTGAGAACAGACATCATCAACCTAATTATCTGTTTTTGAGAGGGAACACTCTGGGATTCTCTTTTTATACAATTAAAGGAAATACCAACAAAATGAAATTCATCCGCGCGCACTTATTCTCATTTTGAATGGACTAGGTAGGGCTATGCCAGTCAAAAAAGACGACGACAATCGCATATCGTTTTCTTGCGCGTCGTATATGGCTCCTCATTGAAGCCTTGAGAACAGAGTCTTAGACTTTATGACGGAAAACACTTTCTCATCAAATTCACGAAGCATGGGAGGTCTTTTGAAGGTAAATCGGCATTCCAATTGCAACACCGGAAAGAGAACCAGCGCTCCAGATCTGTTGAGAGTAGCCTGAGTAGGAAATTGCGAGTTAAGCTTCGTAAGCTGTTATAGAATCCGAGATTTACTGACCTATCTACAGCATGAGTTTAAGAGCAAACCAAATTCTCATTCAAGGCAGACGATCGTCAATCGGGGTACTGGTAAGTCCAGACAAGTCAATTATTTTCTCTATTTAATCTCTCTTAGAGCTGTTTGCAAATCGAAAAAACGCGAGATTCACAGACATGTCAACTTTAACGAGGTGGTGGTGGTTGTCAATATTAGTCACATGATCTGCCCGAAACAGCCTCCCGTCGTTCGACATTTTTTCAAATCTCATGGACCGTGAAGACTTGTTGTCCGATTTGTATGGCATATTCAATCTTTCTTTTGTCTGTGTATTGATATGAGGCTAGGAAATTCCACCAAATCACATGATATGAAATTATCACCACCCAGCCCCTATTTTTAGCCAACAAAACTCTCCCTTCCTACTCCTCGCCTTTCATTACTAAGCCTTCACCAATCGTCCACGTAGTGTGCCGTGATTCCGCTGCACAACTGTGGAGGATTCTCAAACAATACAATACCCCTAGCCAGCATGAGTGGGAGCGCTTACAGGATATACGCGTCTCCCATTCGTTGGGAGTAGCCGAATAACTGCATCTCCTTGCCACTGAATTGAACTGCCGCATACTATCCGATTCTTCAAATCCTCCCATTCATGGTTTCGCTCATGTTTCTTTACATTCCGTCCTTCATGAAAACCAATGGTTGGGTAGCTATGAACCCGGGTGTTACTCTTTGACCATCTGCTCGCATCTTTGGTTACAAATGACTGATCTTGAACCCATGCCCATGTTTCCCCAGGAATTTCATTTGCCGTTCGCTTCCAAATTGACTTGACTTTTATGGGGCGCAGTTGTGCATCGCATCATCCTCTTTGGGGGCGGCCGAGTAAGCGATCCAGAATAGTGCGGTGGGCGTCGAACTGTTGGTTTCGATGGTTTGCGGGTCAGCCGTTACCTTCTTTACTCCGTACTTGCGCCTCTCCCAACTTCACACTTGTGTCTCTCTACATGAAGCGCAGGACGTGAGGTCCTTCGCCTCGAGATGAGTTCGATTGCCCTGGGACAACCGATATCGCCAAATGAACCACTGGAACATCCTGGCACGAAACTTGTTTATGTGGGAATCGTTTTTTTCCCGGTGGAGATTCTGTTCGTAGCTTTGAGAGCCTACTCCAGGTCGCTCCACGACAAAAAAGTTGCGCTGGATGATATTTTGATCTGGTTCGCTTTGTTGATGTGCTTGTCACTGAATGCCTTGGCCATTGGTACGTCATGATTTTCTCGTAACCGATGCAAATGAAGCTTACCTGGAAATCTATAGCTATGGTAAAATATGGAGGTGTTGGTCGACACTGGGTAGATTTGGAACGCTCCGGGGAATATGAAAAGCTCGAAGTCTGGGCCAAATGTCTGTTGGCGACAGGTTGGCTTTACCTAGCTGCCGTGACGCTCCCGAAGATTTGCGTTCTGGTCCTATATCACCGAATATTTGATATGCGTCGGATTCGATGGTCCTGCTATGTCCTTTCAGTCATTATGATTGCAAATTTCTTTACCGGTGGCATGGTTGGCATGTTTGCTTGTCGACCGCTGAGCTATCTGTGGGACCACAGTATCCCTGGTGGGAAATGTATCAATGTCAACATGTTCTTTCTCTGGATTGGGTCTCCAAACATTATTACGGATTTTGCTGTCCTAATACTTCCACTGCCAATCATTGTAAGCACCATCCCGTACTCCCAACAACATCAATATCCTGACATTTGAAAATTCAGTGGTATTTCAAAAGCACAAAATCGCAGAAGTTTGGATTACTTCTCACGTTTTCGACTGGAAGCTGGTTAGTTCCCCTCCTACTCCCCGACTTTTTTCTCCTGCTTCGTCTTCTTACCATGAGACCCAATAGTGGCCTCGTATCATCCCTAATCCGCTTCAAGAATTTTTCCGCTAGCGACGCAATCTCAGATGGAACGATGGCCTCCGCCGAACTAATGATCTGGACGATTGTCGAGCCAGGAATGTGCCTAATAGCCGCTTGTCTCCTTCGCTTTAAGCCACTCTTACGGAAACTCATCAAAGGAACTACCCTCGAACGACTGCCGTACCAGAATTCTCGAGCTTATTATTTGTCTTCTCCTGATCAGATGAAGCTGTCGACTTTGAAGAGTCATTCTGGCTCAGGTTTCAATACGGGTTCCCACAATTACGAAAGAATAGATAATTCTTCGCCGGATGAGGGTATGTGGAATTCTGGTCATGCGAATGTAGAGGTTGAGGTTTCGCGTACGAGGAGTGGATCTCTCATCCCACCAGCATATTTTTCTCGTCCTGGCTGAAAGATAGACGGAAATGAGATGCATCTGAGTATATTCCTTACAATGTGCTATCACGCCGAAATCCCAGGGTAAATCTTCTAACAGCAGGACGAGCCTGCACGTAATAATCTGCCGGGAAGTGGCTGGAAGAATTAATTCGGGACTCTGGGTCTTCGTGGTTTGCTGGAAACAACCCCCACGATGAATGAGAATTGAAGCTTTGGTATGTTGTTTTTCCAAGTTGAAACAATTCTCTCGTTAACTCCGAATAGATTGACCAGGTTCGGCGCACATCAATTCTGGAGCCACGGGTGGATCCGGTTTGATTGATGGCAAGATTACCACAGCCAATTCGAACGATGACGATTGTCGGAACTTGACCGTCATTGTTATCGGCAAGCTTTATTTCTCTAATGACCAGGTGACAAGTTCATATTCGTCTGCTATCTTGGGAGCAATGAATAATCGCTCGCTTGAGATACCTAGGTAGGCAGGAAATAATCACGTGATACAGAAATTCTCACTGACAGGGATAAGTTAAGATGATATACAGAAGTTTGATACCAATATTGTACCTTCTTATTCGTGTTAAAAGTCCTATAATATACATTTTTTAGGATATCTCAAAGTTGAATGCTGGCTGATCACATGACTAACGGTCATAACGTGGAAGGATTCCAAGGTTATTCAATTGGAAGATTCAGAGATCAACTTAACTCTTCTTGCTTGCTCAAAAAATTTGAATGCAGCACCATGTATCCTGGCTGTTTTATGTTCGGATTCCAGAACGCAGATGAGAAGCCATTTACTGTCACTTTCAAATATCACCACGAAAGTGCTCTCCCGGCAAGTTCTTTAATAATTGAATCAGTTTTTCAATCAAGTTTCATTTATTATTACATCTTCTGTTCTTAACTCTTTCGACCTCCAAGCAAGAGCATGTAAGAGATGCGGTCATTACTTTAAACACACCTAGCTTACTATTAAGAATAATATTACCCTAGAGGCCTCGCAAAACCAAAACAATTACAAGCCATTTGGGATAATTTGGACCAATATGTCTTGATCAACCCAAGTAATTTAGGACGATTAGATCAATTATTTTTAGGAATTCTAGCAAAACATAGTTTCAAGGTCTGGTCTCTTACCCCCATACCCAGGCATCTGCTATCCATGAAACAATATGCTGTTGGTGTTACAGAAGTGCATACTCATGATTCTGCATCGCCTCATGGCCTTGGAATATAACCTCTCTCTTGTATAACACCAACATGCAAATCCGTCTTCTCGTGAAATGATTTGGTCATCTCCTTTCGCGCTATACATATGAGTTTATCCGCATGTTGAATCGTTGGTACATGATGCAGGTGACTGAAGGATTCTTCAGTTCGGTTTGATGTGTTTTATTATATGTAGTATCAAGTATCTTTTTGGAGGGATGAAACGAAATATTTCTAAATTGATAACTTGAGAGTTGCGATGTAGTTCTCGATACTGCACTCCGCGTGATAGCTTTCAGTGAGGGGACGGAAGTGGTGCCTCGCTCGCAGTCGACTCCCAAGGTCCTACTTTCTCGTTTGATGTCAAAAGCATAGATAGCTCGACATTTTTCGCTTTTGTTGAACGCAAGAAATAGAGTCCTGTTTTTGGAGAATACCAAGCTACGCCCATATTGCTCAAAACGTTTCTTCTCCAGGCACGTTAGAATGCGATTCACACTACCTCTTCGAACTGGTCTACGGACTCTTTCGAGAGAGCGAATAAATTCCTCATCAAGCTCATCTTTGGATTCTTCTCCGGCAGACGAGAACGAAACATGGAGCCAACGACCAAGCGTAGCGGTTAATAGATCACAAGTTGATCCATACCATAACGCTTCATACAGAAAGCTGCATTGGCTCTCACCCATCATGATGATCGGTTGTCTCGTTTCTGGGGTGGCATTTGCTGGTGGCCACCACGCTTACTATAGTTGGCTCGATGGGAGAGTTGTCCAGGATTCCCGTCGCCAGCAGTGGGCCTTGAAGTGAGCATCGGACTTCTATGAATTGAAGTCGCTTCGTATGCTAATTACTTGCTAGCATTGGAAACGGATTCGCTATCTACATCAATCTTATGTTGAAAACTGCCGTTGGGATTGCATTTACACAATATCTTTGGAAACAACTTCGCTGCCTTTCTATATCTGTGTCTTCTATCAGTGACGCCTTCGGCATGGGTACCAACATATTTTCTTTCCTCAACTGGGAGCTTACATCCAAGATTCCGATTACAGCTGCTTTGGGATTGCTGCTTTGGTGAGTTGAGTTCCAGCCCCCTACTCCGATTGCTTGAAACTAATACACTTTGTTGCAATTAGGGTCCTGCCAATAGCGTCTCTCTTTGCACCTGCGACTCTGTCCATACGGGACGCACAGGTGACCACGTTTGAAAACATGAAAGTGTTCAATATTGGGATCTCTAATTCATCACTAAGCGCATCTTATGGTGCCCCACTAGCACGAATTATCAACAGTGTCGCAACCACAGGTATCGTGGGGAACGCCATCCCTCCTGCTTCCTATGCCAACATGTCTTACGAAATCCAGAGTTTTATTCCGCTACTTCTTTGCTTAGAAGCGAACAGTTCAGTTCGATCTCAGATACAGGGAGCAACAAAGAATGCAATTGGCAACGAATCACCGTTCTTAATCACCAGCAGCTATCAAAAAAATGCGTCGCTGAACCTACAGGATGACCTAACATGGTCTTACGCTGCGCCTAGTGGCTCGCATTATTATGGAGAAATCGGATATTTTTCTATGATACCATTTAGACATTCTTTCAGCTCGCGATGGCGTGACACAAAACTCAGATCTCATACTACTATCGTCTGGAATTCCTCCGAATCAGCACAGCAAAAGATCCTGGGCAACACCGGCGAAATTTGGATCGCGTTCGCTAATTATTTTGGTGGTAGCTCAAAGGTCAAGAAAAGTGTGGACTACATCACTTGTGGACTTCAAAATGTTTCTGTGATGCTCGAAATTGCTTTCACAAATCATGCTCCATCAATCACCGTCAAAAATTCCACATACATGGGCTGCAAAACCACTAAACCACTCTTCAAATTTTTGACAAGTGTCGCAGGGAATCTACTAAAGCCGTCCGCCTATTCCACGAGGACTTCTGCTTCTTCTTCGGGAAAATACATAGAAACGGTTCAGAGCAATATTATGATGACTAGCTTAGCTCTTTTGGGACAGGTCAAGGTCATGGACAAAACGATGAAGTATCGTGAAAAGGACCTAGAGATCTCACATCAATTCGATGATGTCCGGAACATCTCGTTGTCGGAGGCAATCGAAGGCTTCACCCTGAACTCGAGTTTGAGCCTATTAAGCAACCCAGACCTTTGGTATGATTCGTCCCCCCCCCCTTCCCCAAGCTACCTATCCGTTGCTAACTTGACCACTCGTTTGGCAGCAATAGAGAAATGGCCAATGCAACCATCAGGTCAACAAAAACCGTCTACAACTACGAGCCTCGTTTCTTGTTCATTTCATACGACCTCGCTATACTATCCAGCACCTTCGCAGTGCTCCTCGGTTCCTTCCCATTCTCACGAAATGGAGTGAGCCACGATACAAGTGTCTCATCAATCGCGACTGCAATGCGAAATTCGGAGGTGAGTTTCAACGGGTTCAACCCATTCTCTTATCCTTGAGACTTTGTGAAGCTACGCTAACGGAGCTTCATAGGTACAAAAATTACTCGGGAAATATCCTAGTGGTGTACAGCCCCTGAATAAAGAACTTGGAAGTGTGGAACTTCGTTTTCAGATGAGTCATGGCTTCGTTTTGGAGACTGTGAAAGAAGGAAATGCAGTCACCTCATTTTGAGAAGGATGAAGACGTTGATTTCTTGGAATGTTGGGGGCTTGGATAAGGAATATGGGTGAGATTTAGGATAATGCTAGGGTGGACAAATCTACACCCATTTGAATCATCGAGCTTATACTTCCCGATAGAAGATTGCCATCCCTTCGGTTTCGTGTGAGGAAGTAGATTATATTTTTCGTTTCTAGCCTTTGTCTTTAGGTGCGTACGGTATCCTGAATGAACGGTTAGACAAATCACGATTAAGTTGCAAATCGCTTAAGTTATTATTGGGTTGAAAGGGTATTGGGTACTGAAGGTCATGGAGAATTGATTGCCTTGTAAAAGGTAGCTATCTAAGGTGTTTATATAAAGAGTGTAAGGTTTAGGCAGACATGAAGCATTTAGGCAGCAGAGCTATAAGTGGATCAAATAAGGAAGTGGAGCAAAAGAGAAAGTAGACCCAGCACAACAGTTATATATATAGATACTTCGACAGCACCAGTGTGATAGTGTGCCTTTTCCGCCACACCCTCACCTCACTTAAGACCATAGCTCAATTACTTAAGTTCCTGATTTCGCACTTTTAAGGGCTTGTTTAGCTACCGGTTTTCAACCGGACATATTCGATTGCAAATCATAAACTTTACACACTTTCTATGACCCCAGGACCAGTGAATACCTTTCTGAATATACATGAATTACGTACCAAACCTCAGAAAGAATTGTGTATTTTTTAGATGGCTCTGCAAAATCTTTTCATCCCCGGTGTATTCTGTCTTTTTTACGTTAGAATGTCCCTCGTTATAGTAGTATCACACCCCTATTTTTAATACCCCTCAGTGTCCCCCTACAGTATTCTCCTATTATACCTCTTCTATAGTACGATATACACACCCCTTTTCACGTCTTCGTTATACTCGCCTATTGTTGGTTTGGCTTATTTAGTCAAGTAGGTAATACAAAAGACCTATATTACTAAGGTAATAACTAAGTCTCTAATGTTATATGCCGGAGCAAGTGTAGCTAGCTAAGTGCCTACGTACTTATAGGTACTAAAGTACGCTAGTAAAGCATGCTAGTCCCGAAGGAGTAGCTACGCTCGAAGCTAGCTAATAATCATTTACTATTTCAAAGCGACATTAGTATTGTGACCGTGTGGAGTGAACCACTGCTTGCTGTGATGAATACTGAGTCAAACCGGAAACTGCTATATTGAACGAACAACTAAGTGAGAGAAGAAGAGAGTTCCAGAGGAACGAGAGCCTAAATACAGCAGTCCAGTAGCACGCACGGGCCATGCTACACGTGATCCGCCCCCAGTTCCTCCAACTCCGTAACACCCTATATATTATACCTACTTTATAAGCGGATATCGAACGTAATATAGGTCCGTTTTATATACGGTATACCTAGTCCGGTATTTTAATTAAAGGGCTTTAATTTATACTTGAAATCGCGATAATAGATATTATAGCGGATATAAACTATCGCGTATAAATAAGGGGTTTATATCGTCGATTTTTAGACCCTAGCTTATACCTAAATTAGAGTCTATTACCTAAATAATTGTCACGAATCACGTGCGCAGCACGTCGAGGAGTGAAGTCCAGGCGGCGCCCTGACAGGACGAGCACATCACGGACCCTTATAGCGAATAGGGATCGGTTAGACTAGCTAAGCGATCCAGGGATTTCATTTGGTTGTAATCACGTGATGGACCCCAGAGGATCCAGGAGGGATCCAAAAGGATCCATGGATCCAGTTGGATCCACGAACATGAAGGTTCTATATAAACACTGGCACGTCTGCCATTAGATAGAAGCTTCGTGCTCAACTTAGTTATCAATCTTATCATATTAGTTTGACATCTTTGATACAAGTAACGAGTTCACTTCCAAGTGAACAACCCGATAGTCTTCTTCTTATCATAGCATACCAACCAGCGAACACCCAGCCAAGTTTAGTTAGCCAGTTTGAGTATTCGTTACAATAATCCCTATTTCCTCTTAGACGCTAGATAGCTGTTTCGGGGGGTAGGCTATAATTAGCTAGGGGTTACTAGGGTAGGGCGGGGTCGGGTTAGGGACGGGAGGCCGGGGGGGAAATCGGCTATATAACTAGTAGCTAAGGGCTAAGATAAACTCTTAACGGCTCTCTAATAGTAACGCTACTAGTAATACTAAATAGTATATAATAATTATATTATATAAAGAGTTATCTACTTCTATAATTTATACTATAAGAGAATAATAAAACTAAAGTTAAGCTAATCTATAAGCGTAACGTAGTCCACAAGCGAGTTGGATTCCCAAGCGAAATGGATTTTTTTTCTTGGCATTTTATAAATTCTTAAATATCTCACGACACAATTAATTAAATTAATTACAGTATTCAGAATCGGAATCCTCACATATTTCTTCTCCTTTTTGACAAGTTCGTATGTTATGGCCATGTTTCCCACATAGTCCACAGCGCTGGCGAGGTACTAGACTCGGGCTCGTACAATTACTATTTTCTACTAAAACCACTTGTTCTTGCGAATCAACATTACTAAGG